TTGAATATAATTTATAGATGCATGTATAATGATTATTTCTTTGTACGATTAATGTGTGGTACTAATCAAACAAATCGTTATATTGTTTGTTGTTCTCAACGTGATTATTGTAATGATCTTGATGCTTATTCAAAAGAAATTCGTTATACATTGCTATCTACAGTATCAACAAGTAAATATTTATCTAAAAAAGTTCGATAATTAAATTTTTATATTAAATAGCTTCTCTAACAACACGCCAACCTTATGGCAGTGTTTCAATAATCATATTAATAATGATCGTTTCAATAGTTGCTGCAATTTTATTAATAAGTGGATTTTTAGTTATCTATTTCAAACAGAAAAGTTTAAAAAAAAATAAAAATAAGCCTAATTATTTGAAACCAATTGATTATGATGAACACAAAACTATTATTCAACGTTTTTTAAAATGTTTTCATCGTCGAAGAAGTTTAGAACGAAATCCAAATGGACGTATACCATCAGATCAATCATTAACTGCACTTCTCGATGAATTTTCAACAAGTACAGTTGGACCAGGTAATCAATTGAATATAAATTTATTCTAAAAATTTGTAAATCATTTTTTTCTCTAGCACTGCCTTTATTGATGCAGCGTACACTTGCAAGACAAATAACTTTAGAAGCACCAATTGGTGCCGGTCGTTATGGAAGTGTTCATCGAGGAAAATGGCGTGAAGATCAGGTTGCTGTTAAAATCTTTTCAGCAAATGATGAACGTTCATGGCTTCGAGAAATTGATATTTATCAAACCGTTTGTTTAAGACATGAAAATATTCTTGGATATATTGCAGCCGATAATAAGGTAGGCAAAACTTTGATAGTAGAATTAATAAAAACTTTTCCTTATTCAGGATGCATCAACATATACTCAACTTTGGCTTGTTACTGAATATCATGAAAATGGTTCAGTTTATGATTATTTAATGACTCATACAGTCACAATTCCTATATTAATAAAAATGATGTTAAGTATAGCTAGTGGTCTTTGTCATTTACATATGCCAATTGATTCAACAAATGGTAAAAGAAAGTTTGTTCATTTAGTATCTATTGAATTTTTTTTTCCTCAGGCAAAGTTGCACTTGCTCATCGTGATTTAAAAACAAAAAATATTTTGGTCAAAAAAGATTTATCATGTTGTATTGCTGACTTAGGTCTAGCTGTAAAAGAAGTTCGTTCTCGGCCTATATCTAGAAAAGATCCATTACTTGGAAATACACCTGATGAAGAACATGTTGACATTGATATTCAAGCCAATAGTCGTGTTGGTACACTACGTAAGTTAAATTTCATCAACGAAAAAAAAACTAAAGAGATTTCTTTTCTTAGGTTATATGGCACCCGAAGTTCTTGATGGAACATTGAATGATCGTAGTTTTGAATCATTTAAAGCTGCTGATATTTATGCATTAGGACTTGTTTATTGGGAAATATTACGAAGATGTCAAACAAATCCAAGTGGTAAATAAAAAAATTCTTCAAAAGAAAAAAAGAATCTTTATTTAATTGATTTTCTTTATAGAAAATGATGCTGATCCCTATCAAGTCCCATATGAAGATATTTTACCAAATAATCCAACACCTGAACAAATGCGAGACGTTGTATGCACAAAAAAAACTCGACCGCCACCATCATCACGATGGCAAACACATCCGGTAGGAAGAGATTTTCTTTTCTTTTTTAAATTGAAAATTTTTTTTTAAATAAATTTTCTTAAGATTCTTCGTCATCTTGTTCGTTTATGTGAAGAATTATGGATTGAAGATCCAGCATGTCGTCTTAGTAGTCTTAATGTTAAAAAACAACTTAAAAATCAAATGAGTTTAATAGAAAATAGTTTATCAAATATGAATATTGAATCCCAACAACAATTAACACAAAATGATGGTCCATGGACTGCATAGTTATATATAATGAGATATCTTTTCATATGTAGATATTTTTTTCCGCTTATTGTTTGTTTTGCTTTTTCTCTTTCTCATCTCAATCGTTTTTTTTTCACTAGTTTTGAACAGTTCTTATGCTGTTTATTTGCCATTTTTCATATGTACGTCCGTTTTGTCTTACAAACTTTATGTACAGTTATGTTATAAACGAAAAGAAAACCAAAAAAATACTTAGGTGTCAGATGCCATTAATTGACTGCCGGAAAAACGCGTTTAATTAGTTTATTCTTTTTTTCTTGTTGTTGCTGCTGTTGTTTCAAATTTCTATGGTATTTGCGTTTTTGTGTGCGTCTATTGTATTCATTTTATTTGTGAAAAAGAAAAAAATTAACAAAAAAAAAAGGAAAATATTGTCATTAATAATTGAAGTGGCATCTTTTGAGTGTGTTTAAAGACAAATAAAATTTATTTGTTATTCGTATAATTATATTTGTTTCAGTATTCTTGTTCTTCTATTTTTGTTTTCATTTGTCTGATTTAATAATTATGGCAACATCACAAGGAACAACATCTACAGGTGATAGTAATACGATATCAACAACACAAACAACAGTTAGTGCACCACCAACAGTAACACCATCGGCTACTGTTGTACAACTTTTACCATTAGAACTTGTTGATAAATGTATTGGATCAAGAATTCATGTTATTATGAAATCGGATAAAGAAATTGTTGGAACTTTACTTGGATTTGATGATTACGTTAATATGGTACTTGAAGATGTAAGTTGGTCATTTTACAAAACAAATTTAGATCTATTTAAGAGGGAACTAGCTGAAGCATTACTCGCCATTTGAATTCATATTGGGTTCACAAAGAAATCTCGGTAAAACTAGAAAAATCTTCAAAGGTTCGCGTCTATGACCCTTTGCAGTCAAGTGATGACTGTTTTATTAAATTTTCTATCCAGTTATAGGTATTTACTGAAAAATCAAATAACGGAATTTCACTTGCAAACAGGTTGAACGACTGGTAGAATATCCTGAAAAATTCAGTCAAAAAGAATCTTCCTTTGTCGAGGTATTGAATTTTCAAGTAAACTTGATTTTTGTTGCAAACGATCTTTTTGAGAAATTGAATTTTTTGGCAAAAGAACATTATTTTTCGGTTGAAGCTTTCAAAATATCTATCTCGAGAGTCATCAGATCTATCTATAGATGAGAATTCAGTAGCACAGTCATAACTCGGCTTCAGAGGTCCATGGGGATGAACTTTTTTAGGATTTCTCTAGTCTTATAGAGATCTAGTTGTGAACTCAAACGGCGGATATTACATCGGTAAGTGTCGCTAAGGCGAACGAAAAATATTGGTGGAAGTATTTTAATTCCTTTATAGAAAGCTGAAAGAAATTTTTTCACTGTAATGGTCCGATAGTAAAAACAATACTCTATATTTCTTTGCTATGATCTGTAACGATTGAATTAGAGCACAGATTGTCTGCGATGTGTATACTATTCTTTGTATTCTCGTCTTATGCCTAGTCATCTATACATATTAGGGTATGGAAAAAATAGTAGCGTTAAAAGAAGAAAAGGAGTCTATTAAGTTTTTATTTAAGTAATTTTTCGAATGGTTTACAATGTGATTTTTTTTTATTCGCCTTAATCCAACAAAATTGTAATAATTCAAAATTGTTGCATTGTGCTGTAAACTAGTTAACAAATTTAACTGAAGTATAAAAAATGTTCGATAAAAGAATTAAACGAAACTAATTGAGTGTGAATAGCTAGGACGATTATTTCGAATATTTGATAAACTTGTCTCTGTTTCTCTTTTTCTTTTGTTCTGTCGTCAACACGTATGTATACTCTAATAGGTACAGACGACTAAGCGTTAGACGAAACAAGAACAAAGAGAACATTAAGAAGAGGATATACATTGAAGACAATAGGTGATCTAATATTACTGTCAAATATCATAACGTACAGTTTTTATTGAAGTTTTATTCTTATAATATTAGTTGAAGAACGATCCAATATCAGAGAAATGCAAAGTATTGTTTTTTAGGATGAGACTATCTTCGACACTACTTTTATTGTACTAAATACTTTTTTAATGATTTAGTTTGCTCTAAAAGGCGAACTATTTACTTTTTGTTTTTTTAAATTGATTTTATATCGCTTCTCATAGAAATTAGTTCTTTAGGGAAAATGCATAGACAAGATTTCGCTTATTGTAATATTTTATTTTGTACACAATTCTCTGTATCAAGTTTTAATTGAAGATATTTCAAGGTACAAATCAGAGAGAAATCTGAATCTATATTCGCAAAATTTTGACTTCTTCACTCATGTACTAGTGAACAAAGCGATACCCTTTTCTGGTAGTGTCAATGCGTTCGAGACATTTTGTACCACCCACATGACCTCTAACATCCTCCCTCTTGAAGATTTATTTTATTATCAAAATAGAAGTGATTGTTACTCAATAATTTTCATAAAAACTTTTAGAACACTTGAGTCATGAGTCAGAAGCAAAAATATCTTGTCCATATCTATTTCAGACTCTAATCAGTTGTCTTGTAATGGTCGAAAAATGAGTGAATATTTTGTGTCAAGACTTTCGCACCATAGGTTACACTTATTGTTTTGTTCTGCACTTATAGAATAGAGGACTGATTTCATAATTTTCTTTTTCCAGGTAACTGAATTCGAAACACTTCCAGATGGTGGTAGTCGTATAACTAAACTCGATCAAATATTATTGAATGGTAATCATGTTGCTATGCTTGTCCCCGGTGGTGAAGGACCAAGTACAACCGGCGGAGCAGTATGAACAATAATGAAACACTTTAAAAAAAATGTTGTTCTAGTACAAAACTTCTTTGTTATAAAAAAAAAAAACATTTTCCATCTCTCTACAAGAAAAACTCTTGAAATGAAAAACAAAAACGTGATCAGATATTTTCGAAAACAAAAAATCATAAATCAATTTCTTACATGTTTAAGATTCTTTTCATCTTAGATATAAAAAAAAAAGAATATTTTTTGTTTCTTCTATTCAATAAATGGATAATACATAAATTATAATGCACTTTCCATCATCATCAACGGCATCATCACCATCTCCAAATCAAATATCAAATCCAACAAATTCCAATAATGTTTTATTTCTGTCTTCGAATACACCAAAAATGTCATTTATAATTCCAAATAATAATAATAATAATACGATAAATAATTCTAGTCAACAACCAATTGTTTCATCAACAAATATACTTTCATCAACATCAACAACTGGAATGACAACATCAATTAATTTAAATGGTATAAATACACAAACAAATCCAACATCAACTATATCAACGTCATCTGGACAAACAACAACACAACAACGTTTAACATTGCCTCAACGAACACCGTCAATATCATCATCATCGTTGTCGTCGTTGCAATCTCAACAAATTCCACAAGAAGAATTTATGAAAATTCTTCGTGTATTACAAGAAAATAATATGACAGAATCAATTGAAACATTTAAAAAAGAATATCAATCATTATTTAATAAAACCACAACAACATCATTAAGTGAACCTTATTTTAATGCACTTGATGGTTATATATCATATGTACGAGAACAACCTGATTCAAGTCGACATGAATTCGCTCAATTAATATATCCATTATTTGTTCATATGTATTTAGATTTAATTGAAAAAGATCAACTTGAAGAAGCACAACGATTTTTTAAGACATATGTTCAAAATACAAATTTACAAGCAACAGTTTTTGCATCACATAAAGATGATCTTTTTCGTATTCAGTCATTAACTACAAAAGAACAAATAGCACAAAGTGAATATGTTAAATCATTTCGTCATAATGGACGTTATTGGATTAAATTATGTAATGCATCACTTGAATTACTTGATCAATTTTTAATCAAACAACAAAAATATCCATTATTAACAAAAATTGTTCAAGCATATTTTCAAGTAAGATAATCATTGAAATAAAAGTCGATATTAAGATATACATTTTTTTTTAATATCAACCGATTCCTTATACTAAACTGAAATTATGAAAAAATTTTTAGACTTCTACGATTTGATTTGATGAAGTTATAAAGGCTGAAATATGAGAGACTCTCGAAAAAAAAATGGAAAAACAAAGTTCATCTCGATTGTTTTCTGTATATCTTCGTCATTTTGTTTGAGTAACATGTCATTTAAAAGGAACGCATAAACCTGAACAATAAAAAATGTCTCGAAATAGATTTCTGAAAACGTCAAATCTTAATATAAAAGAATTAATATTGAAATCGCTATGAAGCTTTTGTGTTTTTATTTTAGCTTGAAATAAATGATGGCAGTGCACGTAATGCTGAAACTCAGCGTTTATTAAGTGGTGGTCGTCTTGGTGAAATTAAAACTGAAGATAATACGAATAGAATGTATTATGGTTTATTACGAGATCATGATCTTACAAGAATTTTACAGCATAAATCAATTCTTGCATCGACAACAGGTGTTGATAATGATGATGGTGGTGATGATCAACCATCAACAGCAAAAAATCGAAAAAAACTTAAAAAAGATTTTTTCAATCAACGACAAAGTAAAGCATCATTAAAAGTTGATCCTAATGCACCACAACTTACACGAATACCTATTCCGGAATTAAGAGAACATGAACGAATGGATTTAATAAATACATTTCAAGGTAAAATCATTAATTTTATCGAACGATAAATATTTTAATAATATATTTCTAAAGAAATTCATTAAAATGATTCAGTACATGAAAAAGACATTAGACTAATGTTGAAAGCAAATCAATTTGCCCTTAAAGAATCATTAGAAATATGCTAGATGATATGTTTGATAATGTAAAACATAGTAAGATGATTGCTGTAATAACATTGAAGGTGAGGACAAGGTCTATATCGAATTTCAATACTTTTCTCATGGATTGTTGATTGTTTATTATCATAAGTAAAAGTTGTAGGAAAGAAAATGTTACAGGAACAACAGTCAAAGATTTATAAAATATCTTTTATAAAGAGAAATACTTTGTGAATCTTAGTTATGATCATGGCAATCAGAATTACGCATTCTAAATTTGATACATCTCACAGAAATAAAAAAGAATCAAACAAATTGATACATAGAATATTGATAAATATTCAATAATTTCATTTCAATGTGTAATTATTCATAGATTTCATAGGAAACTATATATTTGAAATGTTGAAAAAAATCAATTCTGTTAGCTGAAAATATTAATTAAATTTAATGTTTGAGATGTTGACAACAAAAAAGACCATTCATGTAAAATTAAATCATAACCAATCAGAAAGAAATCAAGTCGGATTATTTTCATATCTTTATCCGTATTTCAATTTCAAAATAATTGATTCAATATTTTTTCGTTTCTATTGCAGAAGACTATACACGAATGTTAAAAATAACACCTGATAATTTACCATCTTGTTGTTATTATACTTTATTAAATGGTTATCTTGAAATAAATTGTCTTGGTAAGTTTAATTCAAACAAAGAAAAAAACAAAATTCTTAATAAATATTTGTTATTTTATTTTTTGTCGTATTAAAGAAATATCCGAAGATTCAACATTACTTGCTGTTGGTTGTAAAAATTCAAGTATATATGTATATTCATTAAATCGTCAAAAATTAATAACAATGAAACTTCCTCATGAACTTGAAAGATTAGACAAATCAAATGAACATGTTTATGAACAAATGATGAGTAATGATGATAATAAAGATGATACAAATACAAATAATGATTCTGATATACTTTATAATCAACGTTTATTATGTGGTCATGCTGGACCAATATATGGTTTATCTATGTCACGTGAAAAATGGTTTTTACTTTCATGTTCGGAAGATTGTACTATACGTCTATGGAGTTTATTAACATGGACATGTTTAATTACATTTCGTGGTCATACACAACCTGTATTTGATGTACAATTTGGTCCATTTGGTCATTATTTTGCATCATGTTCACTTGATAAAACAGCACGTTTATGGTGTATTGAACATGCTCAAACATTACGAATATTTAGTGATGGTTGTAATGATATGGAAACTTTATGTTTTCATCCAAATTCAAATTATATAGCAACATCATCATCAGATAGAATTCTAAAAATATGGGATTTATTAGAAAGTAAAGAAGGACAACAAATAAAACCTATTAGACAAATGTCTGGACATAAATTAAATGTTTGTATATTAAAATTTTCTAAAGATGGTAGATATTTAATATCAGCAGGATATGATCGACAAATTATGATATGGGATTGTAGTAATGGTTCTTTAGTTACATGTTTACTTGGACATTCGGATGCTGTTTTTTCTATGGTAAAATAATAGATTTATTTATTTCATAATGATGAATCTTTTGTAACTGTTTTTTTCTTAGCATCAGTATTATTGAAAGTTAAATAGTAGATTATGTAGACAACATCTGAGGCTACAAAATCTCTATGCAAAGTTTTTCTTGAGAATGCTTAGATTTTTCAAAGAATATACAAATGAAAAATTGTTCTTATGACCACCGAATTAGAAGTTCCAAACGGTACAAATTCTTCTTCTGAATCTCTGGATAATAGTAAAACAAAAACTTTTTGTTTGGCAGACTTCATAGGATTTCTATAACAGCAGTTTTCTAGAGAAAGTTTTTAAGAGTCCATCCTGAAGTGTTCACATTTTTTTTCCTCCTGTCATTAGAGAGATAATCATTAATTACTTTTTAAGTGAGAGTCAACTGAAAGAGTCAATATCTTTACATACAATGAGTTCCGAAATTCCTAGAACACTAGAGTAAATAATTCTCTAAAAAAATGAGACGTTTTTGAGTTTTTTGCAATGTTTTCTAGCTGAGACAAAACCATTTGATTAAAGTTCAACAAATAGTTTGTCAATAGAAAATAATAAAGAAACAATTTTACAGACTTTCGTAAGATTACTGTATTTCAACGAAAAAACATCACAGAAAACTCAGCAACATCTCATTTTGTAGAGAATTGTTAACTCTATCATTCTAAGTACTGCAAAACTAGCCTGTTAGTTTTCTGGATCTGGAGTCTTTGTCTATAGAAACCAGATAATCATTTTTATTTCCTTACATCTCTGTTGGAAACAATTTTCTCTATTCGAATCTTTCTAGCGCTTATGTTAATAGCAAAAAACATTATAAATAAACCTTGTTGAAAAAAACTGTGAGCGCCATCTCTACTAACTCAAATATTCAACCCAATAGCCTATTGGTATTATAAAAAAGAGGATTAATCAATGTATGTTTCGTTTTATGAATGCCTACTCATTGTTAATGCAAAATATTTTAATGAGTATGAAAGAAAAGTCAATAACAATTAGCATACTTATGTCACAGTGGTTTTTTTATGTAAACATTGGTTTTAAATCGTGTTTCAAAAAAAAAAATTAACAATACGAAAATATAATATAGTTTATCCTTTTCAGTTATGCTTACAACGAAAACAAATTCTTTTATAAAAATTTTGTTTTCGAAAGATAAGATATACTCGGGTTCGAGATATGAAAATTTATAATAGATGAGTGAATTTTGATGTTTTTGAATATATAATAAAAAAACAAAAGCAACTATTGTCAAAGAGCGAACTAAAAACAATTTGTTTTTTATTTTATTTAGGATATTTCTCGTGATGGTTCAATTCTATGTACGGGTAGTGCTGATTTTTCTATACGAATTTGGAATTTTGGACAGTTAATTAAAGATAAAGATGATGGAAAATTGGATACTGTTCAACGTGTAACACCATCAGCTAAATATGAACTTGTTACTTATCATACAAAACGAACATCTACAACATTAATACATTTTACTCGTCGTAATTTATTACTAGGTTTTGGTGTATTTATCCCACCAAATGAATCAACAACTAAAACAAAAACTTAATTCTATTTGTGATAAAAACAAAAAGCAAAATCTTCGACTTTTCTCTTTGTATATTCAATGTGATAGAATAAGGACGAGAGCTAGATCAATTACAGTGAAAAATAAAATGCGAAATCATCCGAATAGAAATCATTTAGGCATATGTCTCTCATATAACACATTGTATATAAATGTTTGTTTGTTTTTATAAAACAGTATATGTTATTTCTTGTGTTTATCTATTCTTGTTCGTGTATGTTGCTACTTTAAATTTTTTCCGTAGAATGTATATATATATATATATACATGAAAACAAACATCCATCGAGAGAGAAAAGAAAAAAAAATGTTAGCCCAGAAAATTTTCTTTGTCCTTTCTTTTTTATATATTTACTTAAAGAATCAAGAATGAACGATATAAAAAAAAAGAAAACAATTTTTTTTTGTTTGTTTATTTGTATTTTAAGATTATGCCACCAAAACGAACAGCAGCTAATGCTGCAGCTGGTGGTCGAAAAAAAGGTGGTGCAGCTGCTCTATTTGAAATGGCTGAACCATTTACTAATGGAACTATATTAACAGATCTTTGTCATAAAACATGGTCTATTGGACTACCTATTGGACAAGGTGGTTTCGGTTGTATATATGAATGTCGTAGTACATCATCTAAAACACCAACATATGTTGTTAAAGTTGAACCGGATTCAAATGGACCACTTTTTTGTGAAATGCATTTTTATTTACAATTAGGAAAAAAAACATTACAAGATACATTTATTAAAGCAAATCAACTTGATCATTTAGGTGCACCACAATTAATAAGTCATGGCATGCATGGAAGTGCAACAACAAAACGTCGTTATCGGTTTTTAATTATTCCATATTATAAACAAACACTTGCTAATGAACTTCAATTAACAAATAATAATATAGGCCATTGTCTTAATGAAAAACGTGTACAATCAATAGGTAAACAAATACTTGATATATTTGAATATATTCATTCACATGGTTATGTACATGCTGATGTTAAAGCTGAAAATATTCTTATGAATGATTCTATACATATTTATTTACTTGATTATGGTCTTAGTCGAAAAGTTTCATTACAATATGAAGAAAAAATTCAACGACGACATGAAGGTACATTAGAATTTACATCATTAGATGTACATCGTGGTGCTGTACCATCATTTCGTGGTGATTTAGAAATTCTTTTTTATAATATGTTACATTGGCTTGGTGCACGTTTACCATGGTTAACTATAAATGATGGTGCACGTGTACAACAAGCAAAAATAACAGCACGTAGTGATCCATCAGGTTTTATTCAAAGTATATTTACAAATAAAAATTCCATATCATCAAAAATGGTTGATGCATTAACACAATTTTTTCGTGAAATTATACAAATGAATTATACAGATAAAGGTGATTATCGACGTTTAAGAGAAATTATAACATGTAAATCTCGACAACGACGTTCATCGATTGGTGCTGTTTCATCACGAAAACCATTAATTGATTCAAGAAAAGAAGATGAAGAGGAAGAAGAAGAAGAAGAAAAAAAACCGGAACCAAAGAAAAAAATTTCACCACGTTGTTCAACAACAAAAACAACAGCTAATCGAGCACGTAGTGCTTCACGTGATCGTGATCGAAGAAAAAGCCGCAACGAAACACGTTCACCATCACCACCAATTCAAATGCTTTCTGCACGTAAGCGTGCTCGTTCCAAAAACACTAACAGATATACGAAAAGAAAAATTTTCAAACGATAGTATTATTTGTATCGGTTTTCAATAAATTCCGCGAAAGCAAAAAAATTTCTCTAAGTAATACTTCATGCTTGAGATAAGACAAAACTTGTTGAGGCTAGAAAAATGTATTTCTACACGCTGTCATTTTTCAAAGTTATGGTCGCTTCACTAAAATTTGTCAAAAAGATTTCTGTACAAACATTGACTTCAAAAATTGATCATAAATATTTTATTTCGATTGTTTTCCATCTGATTTGAAGAATCCAAATAGTGATTTGAGTCAAATAAAAAACAGTAGAAAACTTGAAGGGTTTGTATGCTAAAAAAGAAACTAAACTTTGTGTTTTCTAGAGATCCTGAACTTTGGAAATACTGAGAAGATTTTATTTCTCTTAAATCCTCCTTGGAAAAAAACTTGAAATTAAATCTATATAATCAATTTCTGAAGCCACACTTTCCACAAAGTTCTCCTTTGTTCAATTTTTCATAAGTATTATACCAAGGGCAAAGAAAGAATGATTGAAACGACCATAACTGTAGAAAATCAGTGCATGGCAACAAATCCTCCGAGGCTAGTTTTAGTCTTAACATTCTCTATCAATTGAATGCATGTCTCATCAGGGGATATTTCTCTCTTGTTAGAGATGAGACACTTTTCAATGAAAACGCAAACAGTAAAACATTGCTTGATTCTTATATTTTAGGAACACCAACATTAAACATGTTTAGTACTTTATCAACTCAATCAAAAAACAAAATTTCCAATCATGATGTTGAAGATGATGAAAATGATATTGATATGAATGTTATTCTTAATCCAGCGTTAAGTTCAACACGTATTGAACGACCACGTCGAGTTCATGCACCTCCTCCTGTACCAGCACCGCCACCTAAAATAACAAATGATTATTATAATAAAGCAGTTAATCTTAATACGGATGATAAAATTAATAAGAAACAACCGATTACATCAACAAATATTCGTTCAAATACTAATACATCAAAAAATGAAAGAGAACATTCAGATATTATTGCAAAAGTTCTTGCTGGCATACCATTAACAGATAATGAGATTCGCCGAGTTATTCATCGACCTAAATAAAATTGTATAGAATCAAAATGAACATTTTTTGTATAGCAACGTAAAAAAAAATTTGTATAAAAACAAAAATATTATTTTTCTCTTATACTCAGGAGTTTGACGTTTAAAACGTTATGAACAAAATAAACTTAAATAAATTGACTTTTTTCTTTTGTTGTTTATATATATATTTCTTATTGTACTTTGATATTTGGATTAACTAATGAAGAAGAAAGTGATGTTATAGATATTTTTATAATGAGTAAATTGCCGACCAGTCGTCTACCGGTAACACCAAAAAATGTAAACACGGCTAAGTCAGGTGTTCGTCCTCCTCAACAAACTGCGACAACAACAACTTCATCTCAACAAGTGAGTCCAACTGGTGGAGATTCATCTAATAATCAATTGGCTATTGGTGATCGTGTAATTGCTAATGGAAAATCAGGAACTGTAGCATTTATTGGTACAACAAAATTTGCTGACGGTATGATTAAAAATAAAATGATTTTACTTTACATGAAAAAAATGAGGTTTTTTTTTTAATTTTAGGCGAATGGTTTGGAATTGTTCTGGACGAAGCTCAAGGAAAAAATGGTAAGGAAAAGAAAAAAATGTGTAAATCCATTAATAAAATCTCTTTTTTTGTGTGTTTTTAAGATGGTTCATACGAAGGTACTCGCTATTTTGAAACTGAACCAAATCGAGGGTTATTCTGTCGATCGACTAAACTACAACGCCTTACTCAAAATGGTGCTAGCAGTAATAATGATACGTCCGATCCATCAAAAGCTCAAACAACTCCATTAAGTGATACCTTAAAACTATCGACTTCAATATCGAACGCAGATAAAGGTATCCATATGTACAGTACTAGTCAACAATATAAGACCAACGTACTTTTTTTCCTACAAGACGAATCATTTAACTCGAAACGGAATAACCAATGAAGTTCTCTATCAAATACATTCCATACCAGGAATTCATAGATGGACTAAGAGAGATAGTTTTCAGGTCCCAGAAAATTGTATGAAAATTAATTTTTAAGAGTACTATCTTAAAGAGCATAAAATCGTGAATAGAATGAGAGATTATCGAGTTTTCTACGATCTCTCCTTATAAAATTATAAGAATCACAAAAAAAAACATGAGATTTATAGCAATGTTATGATAAATTTCTCTTTGTAACACTCATAACTTGTTAAGGGAAGATCGTAGAAAGTCATCGAGAATCTGAGAACTTTTATGTTTGATTTTTAAGAGGTCTACCTCTCATATAGCCCATCTAATTATTTTCGACACACAATGCATTTGATAGAAAACTTCATTGACTATTTGGTTACGTATTATATTGTTGGTATGAAGGAAAAAAATCTGCTGGTGTTATATTTTTTTTACCAATACTGTAAAATATTAAAAAATAACATTTTTGTCTCATTATAGGAGAAGATGCAGATACAACATTAATAAATACAACAGTAGCAGCTGATACTAGTACAATTACAAATGATCAAACTGTATTAGCTGAACCATCATCTCCTCAACAACTTGCTGTAGGTGATCGAGTAGTTGTTAGTGGATCAAAACATGGCACACTAAAATATCTTGGTAAAATTCATGTTGCTGAAGGTATTTGGTGTGGTATTCAACTTGATGAACCTATGGGTAAAAATGATGGTAGTGTTAGTGGAAAACGATATTTTACTTGTCAACAACGATATGGTCTTTTTTCACCAATGGCACGTGTTGAAAAAGCAACTAATGATATGGTTCAATCACAAACTATAGCACGAAAAGCATCTGTATCATCAAGTACAAATAATAATCGTCAATTACAACGTTCAACAAGTCAAGAATCTCTTCATTCAAATTTATCAGAATTTTCAACATCATCAAATAGTATTAGTCGTATACCAACACGAACACCAGCTAAGAGTCAACAACAAAAATTACCAACAAATGCAAATCTTTATGCAACACCAAATACAAAAACATTATTAACACAAGCAGCTGCTACATTAGCTGCTGTAACACCATCATCAAATCAAATGTCAAATTTAGTTCAAACAATAAAAGAAAAAGATATATTTATTGAAAAATTACAATCACAACGTGAACAAGATCGTTTAGAATTTTCTCGTGCAGCACAACAAGTTGATGAAATGGAAAGTCGTTTATTAGGATTTAAACAACAATATGATATAAAAGTATTAGAAAATGAAGAATTAAAAAAAGAACAATATCAAACAAAACAACGTATAGAAGATTTAGAATTTCAATTAGAAGAATATAAATTAACTGATGCTAATAAAGATAATTCAACAACATCAACAATTCCTGATGGTTATCGTTTACTATCACCAAATGATATTGAAATTTATGAACAAATTAAAGAGAAACTTGTTGAACTTGAATCAATTAATCAAAAATTAATTCTTGAAAAACAAACATTACAAGATGAACATCGACAAGAATTAAAACGACAATATGAATCAAATGAAAATGATTTTAAAACACGTTTTAATGAGTTAGAACAAAAATATAATAATGAATTAAAAACCAGTGAAACAAATAATATTAATACAATTAAATCTGAATATGAATTAAAATTAAAAGATCAAGATAAACAATTCAATGATCTTATCGAACAAGTTAAAAACGAGAAACAACAACAAATTGATCAACTTAAATCAAAAATAACTGATCTTCAAAATCAAGGTATTATATCTCTTATCTTTATTAATCTATAATTCAATCTTCTAGAACAAACTAAAACAAACACTTTATCTGAAAAAGAAACTTTCTATGAACAACAACTTAAAGAACAACAATCAAAAATTGAACAATCTATCAACGAAGCACAAGAGGTATTTTTCTACAAAATAGTTTTCAATTCTAAAAACATACATAATTGTCAAACATCTTAAATTTTAATCTTCATATTACCACCTAAAGAATTGTAGTCTGGTTTTCACCTGAAATATTGCAGGGTAGCTATAAGCATTCTATACAACATATCACTAGAAGAAGAGTCAAGAAAGGGAATGGTTTATCTAAGTACTGTTTGAGTCATAAATGATTTTGTGATGATCTGTACAACAAGGAACATGACAATTCGTATATAAGAGAGGTGATTAAGAGTTTACCTTTATAAGAGAGCTGAGTGAATACAAGTACAAAATATACTCTAGTGAAAATATGACCTCCATAAATTCAGAATTTGAAAATTCTCTAGACTAAAGTTATTCGTTCAATTGCAGTAATCATAGTCAGTTTCAATAATGTTCATATCCAGTGAAACATAATCAAACTCTAATTTTTGTGCCTTGTGCTGTCAGCTACTGTCTTACACTATGACGTACTCTCATCACTTTATGTATCGAGTGTAGTGATCTTGTCTTTACTCTTGACTACAATGATGAGAGTATATATCTTATTAATGGAAACACATGAATACAGTTTTTATAAATGCAGTACAATTTTTCTTATATTATCTAATAAGAACAGAATATTAATTTTGATAATCGACATAAAAATTAAATATTTCCAAGTATTTCGTTATTCAATTTTTAGATTCAATCTCAGTTAACAACGTTACAACAAGAGAAACAAACAAGTGAAAAACAAGCCAATGATTTACTTAGTGAACTCAAACGATATCAAGAAACTATTGTTCCCGATTTAGAAAAACAAAATCAAACATTAAAAATAGAATTAGAAAATCGAGGTACATTTAACATTATCTTTTATTTATTATTGAAAGTTTTCAATCTTTATTTTCATAGATCAAGCAGTTAATTCCACACTTACTGAACGTGAATCTCAATATGAACAACAAATAAAAGAATATCAATCAAATATTACTCAAGCTATACAAGAAACAGAAAAAGTTCGAACTGAATTAAAACAAATACAAGAAGAAAATTTTTCAAAACAAAAACAAACCAATGATTCAATCAATAAATTAAAAGAAGATTATGAAAAACAATGTGAAAAACTTCAAAATGATATAGCTGAATTAAATAATCGAGGTTAAACAATTTTTATTTTCTTCAATTAAACAAATTTTTTTTTCTCTTCTATAGAACAAAAATTAAATACAACTCTTAATGAACGTGAATCATATTTGGAACAACAAATAAAAGAATATCAAAATAAACTCGATCAATCAACACATGATATTCAAACTGTTCAATCAGAATTAATAAAATTACAAGAAGAAAAAATTTCTAATGAGAAAAAATCTATTGATACAATAAATACATTAAAACAAGATTATGAAAGACAATATGAAATTCTTAAAACTGAATTAACTGAATTACAAGATCGAGGTTTGATCTTTTTTTTTATATTTCGTCCATCTTTTTCTATTATTGTTATTACTTAAATAGATCGTACTCAAAATATGGCATTAAATGACCGAGAAGCTCATTATGAAATGCAAATAAAAGAATATCAAAGTAAACGAGATCAAGCTATTCGTGAAACACAAGATCTTCGAAATGAATTAACAAAATTACAAGAAGAAAAAACTTCAACTGAACAAAACTTAAATGATTCACTTAATAAATTAAAACAAGATTTTGAAAAACAAAGTGAATCTTTTCAAAAACAAATAACCGAATTAGAAAATCAAAGTTTGTTTCTAGTTTCTCGTTCATGTTCTAACTTAGCTAACTTGTTTTCTCATCAATAGATCGTACAAAAACAAACGAATTCGATGAAAAAGATAAACAAATTATAGAATATCAATCCAAATTAGATCAATTAAATAGAGAAAATAATGAGTTACATCAACAAATCGAACATAATCAACAAGAAAACGAAATCAAAATAAATCAATTAAAAAAAGAATTCGATGAAAAACATCAAACTAATGAACAAACACAAAATGAATTTATTCAACGTGTAAGTCTACTGTATTAAAATTAGGAACAAAATATTTGATCAATAAAATAAATGAAATGATCAATTACCTATGAATTGAGTTTTTTAATAGATTTAAAGATCAACAAATAAAATTTTCTAATAGTCAATCAAATCAAAGGGTAAATATAGCCATTGAAATGCATTATAATGTGATTCACTTTTTTTCTTGTACCATAAGTTCAGATGCGTATGTGCAACATAATTGTATCGACTCTGTGCTTCTATTATTTCCACGAACTTCAGTTTTGAGTTCACGAGTAAAGCAGGTAGACCTGGTAGAAGTTACTCAATACGAAAGTGATATATCAGATGAAGACGTTGTGAAGGAAAATATCCAAGTGTCGTGGATAGAGATGTACGGAACTAGGACTTGAACTAATGATTATAGTTAACTATTCTATGATTTTAAGCGAATTATTTTAGAAATCATCAATCAGAGCATAGTTCAAAAGAGATGGCCTAAAAAAGTACTAATTCTCTAGGCTGGCATCGAGATTCGAAAAATTTGATCGCCACATCTGTAGTCGTGGACTTTAATGTAGAGCGACTATTTGTCTGCTATATTATGAAATGAAAATCCATTGGAGCTCACGTTTATATCTTATTTTATATAGATAAAGCAGAATTCTGCTGAAAAAAGCTTTATTTTTCGTTGGCCAAGTCTGAATTTTTTACAAGCATAACATGTGTCTTTTCTACTGATAGTTATAAATAATAAACTGACCATTTAATCTTTATATTGATCGTTTGTATAGTGTTTTTTTCTCTTATCTTTAAGACTGAAAATTTAACAAAAGAATATGAAGATTTTAAAAAAATCAATGAAACATTAAAACAAGATTTTCAAGATTTACAAAATAAATATAATGATCTACAAAATGAATGTCAAAAATATTCAACATCAAATGAACAATTAAAAAATACAAATGATAATATTGTTAATGAAAAACAAGCTCTTATTGATCAATTAACAAAACAAATCAACGATATGCAACAAGCTCAAGTTGAGCTCGTTGAAAAACAAATTAATCAACATACAGATTTTGAACGCGAACGTTTAGAAGATAAAAAAAGTCATGAAAAATTATTAAAAGAAAAAACTGAGGAATTTGAATTAAAAATACAATCAATGAAAAGTAAGTATTTATGTGAGGGAAGCGACAATACTTTCAACATCTATCGCAGTTTGTTACAGAAGAGAGGCGTTCCTTACGTGTCAAGCACAGTCTGTAATGGCCTCTGAATCTTGAAATATTTTTGTTTTTCTCTAATGGTTTATTGTTTTTGCTCATCGATTCCCGAAGAAACACTCAGTGTTTTTATTCAGTGTGAGGGTCGAGAGAGAGCAATGCTCCTTCGAAGATCGAATTGGGCATCCAGGAGGTTTAAATCGTCCTTTCGGAAGAGAAAGTCTGGATGAAAACACTGAAAACTAATCTCGCTCCATGATTCGGTCAAATTTAGGAAAAATCTTCCAATCGGCCTCCCGAGCCATTGACTCTGCCTCTTCAAATCGGACAGCCTCCGAACACCCCTGGTGATGGTTCTTCAGTAATCTCTTTGGGGACAGAAGATCCAAACTTTTATCATAACACTTCAATACGCCTCTTATATTGTGTTTCACAAAATCAATATTTTCTAGGTGAATATTTTATTGAAACTGAAAATAGTAAGCTTGAACATGAGCAAGAAAAAATTCGTTTAAAACATCAACTTCAACAAGCCGTTCAAGGAGTTGAAAATAAAGACAATTCAAGTTCAACTGGTCATGTACAACAACTTGAATACGAATTAACTGAAGCACGATATCAAATAGAAAAATTACAAAAACAAATCGAAGCCAATGCAAATAGAGATGATCGAGCAACACTTGAAAGTCAAATCAATTTTCTTAATGATGTTATTGTTGATTTACGTAATACCAATGAAAACTTGAAAAAAGAAATTGAATTTCAAAAAAATCCATTTGTTGGAGATGATGTATTTCCTGAAAATACAATAACACGAAGAAAATCATCGATACCTAGACTTTACTGTAAGTTTTAATGTTCATTTTTTGTTTATTATATCTATTTATCTGTACATATATATCTAGGTGACATGTGTGAAGTATTCGATCAACATGATACAGATGATTGTCCAAAACAAAGTTCAATGATAGATGATCAACCTCATAGTGATCATCATTCACATGACAGAGTATTGCCACCACCACGACTCTATTGTGAAAAATGTGAAGAATTTGGTCATGATTGTAACGAAGCTGATGAAACATATTAAATTTTTACTTGATTTCTATTGCATTCAATTTTTAAAACAGTGATCAAATATTTATCAATTATTTGAACTAATGTTCTTCTTTCCTTCTTTTTTCGCCTTCGATTTTTACCGAACTATTGAAATGTCCGGTGCTCGACTTATCTTTGTACATTAATTGAGTTATTCCTTCTTTACATTTATTCTTCTTGTTTGCATATTATGTATTCATTGTTATTCGATTTCAGTCAAACGGAAGTAGCTAATTACATGGGTTCACTGTACTTTAGTTGTTTTTTTTCTTTCTTAAGACAATATATGTGTGATGTGATACAAAAAAAAAAAATAAAAACCTGCACCTTAGAAAACATCTGTTGTTACTGTTGCAATATTATTTTATTTGTACAACGAAAAAGAAAGATAAATAAATATATTAATAAATAGTCTTTTGAAATATGCAATAAAATTAGGCATAGTATTTATTCTGTATTTGCGGAGAACTAATTACCAGCGAATCATTTATTCGTTGATCTATGACCGAAGCGTATTTGCGTATGAATGGAACTCGAAGATGAATTATGACCATCGATTTTTCCATTATGTCAAAAAAGGGGGCCTGTGGGACAGCTGTGAATTCTGAAAAATTTTGTCTATCTCACAGAACTCTACTCAAACATAATTATTCTTGCTGAATAAATGGGGCGTTCAACTAATATTTAGTATATTGCATCGAGTTGCTATAAGAATAGGCCACAAGCCATATGTGTCCTACTATTGATCTGAAGAGATTTCGAGCAAATTATTGGTCATTTTTTTTAATTTCAACTTTGTTTGATTCCTGTGGATAATATGGCTACATATTATAGAAGAGGTAAATAGCATAGAAAACAATTAATTAGCTTTCTCGCCAATGAAAAATTGAAATGTTAACACATTGGTATCGCTTGCTGACAGGGTTTTTATCTTTACTGAGAAAATTCTTTTGTAATGGAAGATTTATCATGTGCAGTTCAGTGGCTAGAGAGCGAATGGTTCATCGCTTAAAGAAGAATAGTCCATTTGCGATAAAAACTTTACTAGGAACAGAAGAAGCATCGAGATTTTCAATGGTGAGGCGTCAGCCTAACTAGGATAATAGAGTTCAAGCCGGTGCTTGCGATCAGGATGTGGACATTGGTGTGAGTGTCAGAGAGTGACGGGACACGCGGAACTCAATGCTTCTCCTGCTTACTCCTGTCAATGGAACAAAAAGCAAAAATAACCGTTCATGTAATACATCGCAATAGCGATCATTTTTTTAATGTCGCAAGAGAAGAAGAATGATCGTCACAGCGGTCGACTCTTACTAAACAAACATTGAATCAGAAAAAGAACAATAGTGACGGTCAATTCGATCGGAACAAGATGAGCGATGACAGACAGATGAGACAATGACCATAATATTAATTCGTTTGACATAGAAAATGCAATGTATATATACACAGTTACTTATGCGTATAGTTGTTCATTCTGTCTCATTTCGTTACAATTGTTAATCTTGAAAGTTAGTCTTTTCAATTCGTATTTGTACATGGATTTTACGCCGAGCAAAGTAGATTGCTGCAGCTATTCACCATATTCTCGTATTATCTCGTCCTCATCGAATGTTTCGCTCGACCGTCATACTTCAGCATCGTCGACAATCGTTCGTACTTCAAGTCAAACGGCTTATTCTTGCTTACAGATTGAAAGTCTTCTCAAGAAAGACAAAGATCACTATGTCATTATCAACAATACAAACAGAAAACTGATGTCTGCCTGTTGGGAAGTATTTGAATTTCCCGCAATTATCGATTCAAATTGTGGTCCTTCGCAGCATATTGACAAATTTGTTTCTTGTCTTAAATGCTACAAGACTTACTCATTCACGTCCATCGTGTGGCACCGGTCTTGTGGCGAAAAGGTGCTCGCGAAATTAGCCGAGACGGGACTGAAAAATTCTTGCCAGGACGTGGGACGAGACACAGAAGACAGTGTGTGGACAACTACTGACGGGCCTTAATGGGACAGTTTCTCATTGCCTCCTCAGTCTCTGATAGGCTCTCTGTCCAATCATGCCCAGAAAAAGACATTCCTTAGATATCAAATTGTCGACAACTTAACTTATTTTCTAAGTATTTAGATTTGAATAGAGATATGTTGTCTGGTGAAATTACACAAGATGATCTCAATTGTACACAAAAAACATATGGTGATGCAATGTTAACAACTAGTGAAAATTTTAATGAACAATCTCAAGAACTACTTGATACTTGTAAAGTATTATGATTGTGTGACATACTGTTGAAAATGAATCAATGATTGTGGATGGAGACATCATTGAATGGTTATTCAGTCGTAAAATATGTGATCATAGTCGAACAGCACCGAATAAAGAAGACTTATTTGGCAATGCAGCGTTTGATCGAACAAATATTTCAAAATTAAACTTCGACAGAAAAACATTCTGAAAGTAAGAAACAAAACATTTCTATAATGTTTTTTTGTTTTTTCTTTCTCTTTTCTTCTTTCTAGAGAATATTTACTTCGGTATGGATATTATATAGACATGAAAATGTTAAGGATAATTGTATTGCGATTGTTTGGAAACCAGCTGTTGTCAAGATGAATGCAATAACAGCAGGAAGTGAAACAGTTCAAGTAGTAAAATCATTAGCTGAACTATCAAATAATACTGTCAAAACAACCAATCTGACTCAAATATAAACTAGATCATTTTAAAAAAGTAATAACAGCATGGCTCATTTGAGGTAGATGAAATGATTGAACAATGAAAAAGAGTTTTTCATGTTTTGAATTATTTGGGATTTAAGACCTGTTTTTCTGAGTGTTAGATTTAAAACAAAATTTTCAAAAATAGATAAGATAAATTATATACGATTCATATTTTATTGTAAATATGGAAATCATACTATCTAAAGAAAAAAAAGTTGTACTTGTCTTTAGTTTATTATTGGCATAGATAAGCATCAAATTGAGCCAAAGTTGGTAGATTTCCTGATATCTTATAAATATTTAATCGTACAGCGCGTATTAATAGAGCTTCACCAAACAAAACAATTCGTTTATTTCCAATTGATTGTCCTTTAGCGGATGGAATTTCTATCCAACAATTAATACAGTCTCCCCACATCATTAATCCATCAATAGACCATTGACGAATACTAGCACCAGCTAAACTTCTTAAGTCTTCACGAATAATGACACGGTCAACTAATTGAGTTGTTGAAAATTGTAAGACACAATTATTATTTGAACAAGTAAAATTACTGGGCAACGAATTACTATAACAATTGCGAATAAAATCACCTAATTCTTTATATCTTCGAGCATGTCTAGGATCAACTATACCATCTTGATTAACAGCTAAATCTAATACTAGTTTACAATTTCGACCAACAGATGTATGATAAACATGAATGAGTTCATCTAACGGTCGAATAGGAAAGTCATATCCACCATAAAACCATCGATCACTAACTTGTAAAGTTGTTGGACATTCAGGAGGTGAAAAATATTCACCATCAGGATCTTCTTGACCATTAGCATTAACAGTTAACCATGTATCATCAGGAGCAAAACCAAATTCATTATCAATATTTCGAATACTATTATTTGTTAGACCAAATCCATTAAAAATTGATGCACTTGATTGATATTTTTCTAATAAAGATAATATTCCATTCTTTAATGATTCCGAATAACCACCATCGAACCATATTTCTAATAATTCTCCATAATTCATCCATAATTCTTCTAATTGTTTTAAAACAATTGATTCATATGTATGTTGATTAATCGACATTTGACCTGGAGCTAATGGTCCTGGTTGAACACGAGTATCTTGTACATTTAACCAATTATTCCATACAACTGAATAATACAATCCAGTTCTAATTTCAGCTTTTCGACATGAACCTATAAAACTTCCAACAAGATCTATACTTGATTTAGGACTATACAAAATAGAATAATTATAAGCAATTGTTTCATTAGTTGTTAATTGAAATTGAACTTGTGTTGGCCATGTTGTAAAACCACAGTTATGTTTTGCTACTAGAATAGCATATTTAGCACCAACATCTACAAATGTTTGTACCCAATTATCAGTATTTAATGTCGAAGGATTAAAAAGTTTAATATCAGGTACCAATTTTGGATTACGATTACAACCATCATATTCAACAGGCAAATACAATGCCATATTATAATGAATTAAGAAACCAATATCGGATTGTTCTAACCAGGATAATTGTGCAGGAGTTGGGTGTGCATTAAATATAAATTTTCTCATCTTACATGAACGTGCTTCTATTGATAATAAATGAAAAAATATTACAATCCACAAAGGACTCATATTGTACTGATTGACAGTTGCTTTGTATCAAGCGGTTGTCAACAAAACGAAAATCTAAGATAATAATAAATAGGAAAAAAAAGACATTTGGTTATGGATTTTAAGGTGAATTTAGTGTGTGAAAAATCCGAGACATAATTAAATCACACTTATTTAATAATAAAAAAGGCTTATTCTTATATAATAGGAAGAGTTTCGCTTAGTAAAAAAAATTGAAATATGAGGTGCGTTTTAACTTTATCCATCCTTTTTTATTATTGAAAACGATGATAAATTTAGCTTAAAGAGTATCTCATCGAATTCTTCAACTTGATCGTGCTATCTTAGCTGTATTTCTCTATATTACAATGGTACGAAAAACAAATCATCTTGTCGTTCGCCTCGCCTCTCTTCAGTAATAATTGAAGAACGAGTTGAGAGGTTACCAGTAATCAAAACTATAGTGTTATTTGACTGTAATTTGAAAAATACTAATAGTAAAACTAATCGCATTCCAAAAAAGGGCCCTGAAAACTACTCAGCTTGATTAACATTCTATTGCATTGCGTTTGTATTGAATTGAACAAAGAAATTTTCCAAATAATATATGGCGGATGTTATGTAAGCTAATCTGAAATATAAAAATGATAAATGTGCAAAATGTAAATAATGAAATCTATTCTTAAAAGAAAAAGAAAAATAATACAGCAGGAAGTTTATATTATATTATCGTCAGTTTACGAATAACTAACAATAACTGGAAAATAAGTCTTTCCAGGTACAACTTTCCAAATTTTCATTGTTAGATTATTGACTCCGAAATCGATGACAAACATCGAGAAGAAGAAATCGTCACCATCACGAAAAATTCTATGATATTGTAAACCACAACCATATTTTTTGGCCGGCTTGAAAGCAGGATTGTAGTGTATTTGTTCCCATTCACCTGATCGAGCGCTTAATGTTTGTGATCTCAATAAACCTAAGACCCAGTTTTGTTCTCCTAACGTGGTATCACAATTTAGGGTACCATCAGGAGCTTCAATCAAGTGATAATAATAGTCTCCTGACTTGACCATACTACCTTCACCTCCACCAACGCATAAACTTTTTGGATTCCACGTAATATTCCATCCATTACAATCCAAAGAAGAGAAAATAGCATCATTCGGAAGATCATAACCAGCTACATCATAATTAACAAAATCTCGAGTACGAGCAATACCACGCGCAGCTTTATTGTTAGGTCCATCCCAACCATGAAAAGTAATATAGAACCATCCATTCACTTTTTGTATGATTTCAGGTGTACCTTCATCATACATAGTCAATGTACAATGTTTTCCAGTGCCAGAACAGATTCTACTCCATAATTGTCCACCTTGGACAACGGGATTTTTTGGATTGGGTGCAAAAGGACCTGACATAGGATCACGTCCAGGCCTTGAATAATGACAAAGAGACCATCGTCTATTATTACCAATACACTGAGCTAGATAATGCCACCAGCCTGTTTCATTATCGAAAAAAGGAGCTCCATCAAGTGCTGCACAATTATCAAAAGTTGAGTTTCCAGGAAGTGCAACAACAGCCGGTTCTGACCATGATTTCCCAAAATCTGTCGAATTTCGAACAGCAATACGCGTTAATGGTACGATACCATTACAAAAGTCTGGGGTAGGTGCATAAAAACCTTCTCTATAGAAGACATACCATCTTCCATCGAATGGCTTAATGTATGTACCTACATTCCACATTGCTGTAGAGCTTGGATCAGTATGAGGAGTAGGAAATACTGACGAGCTTACTAGTGCTAATCCTGCTTGTCCTGCAAATAAATCGGCTAATTTTCCGTCATCTAACTCGTTCACAACTGTTTTATAATGAATGATTTCACTACAGCAATGATAAAAGACGCGAAATTCTAACCTATGTCCAATAGTACTCGAAAAATATAGAGAAAATATTTGTGGTTGTAATTTATCATAACCAAAATCAAGTCGTGAAATATTTCTACTTGTTAATATATAACTCATATCAGCATCATTTACTTCGACAGTTAATAATTTTAATGGATCAGCAATGTTATTGTCTACTCCTAGATAGAAATCAACACGTGAAGGTGCCGTAGTATTCCATTCTTTTGTATAAGGTCCATATGTAAGGTATCTTTCCTGCGGATCTTGCGTGATAACCACCCAAGCAGTATTATTAAAACGAGAACCTGTTTGATGATAAGGTTGTATACCGGGATAGAACTCAAGTTGGAGACCAGTTACATAATAAAATAAGGATAAAACGAACAATGAAATTGTGTATAGTAACATAGCCGATGGCAATAATTATAGGAACTAGGTGAAAAATATTTGTTTTAAAACTTGTTAATGGTATCTTTATCAAATGCATGAAAATAGATGTTTATATCTTTTACTTATTTTGGATATCTAAAGGTTGCTGATAAGACACGTTTTCCCTCGTTTTTAGTTCTTACACATCCTTTTCTATTATTACATACTCAACTTAACCATGTGGTCAACTGAATTCATAGTTTTAGATTTCTGTTGATACTGCATAATCTAAATATCGTTTTTTTTCTCTTTAGTGCAGATCATTTTTTATTTTATTTAAGAAATTGTTATTTACTTAGCATGTCACAAGTTCAAGCTGCACTTGTTGATTTTTTTTTCTGTTTGCCTATTGAAAACGAAGAATAAAAATAAATAAATAAGAAAAGCTATTTTATTGAAGTGTACAACTTATTAAAGATGTAAGTGATTGATGTGAAATTTTCAACAAGTGTATATGTGAACTTCAATGATCTAAAATAATCAGAGATAAGGATGAATTTAATTAGTAGTCTTCGTTTATTACGACCATTGTAGTCTTACGATTAATGCTTTATGATATAAATTGAATTTCAAAGATAACATTAGACAATTACCTAAGCATATTTTCTCATAATTTTAGTGAAATGTTAACAAAAGGAATACTTTACACACAGGTATTAACATATTATATTTATTCCAATCTTGTTTAATGTAGCTAATTATTTTCATAACAATATTGAGTAAACAAACAATGACATATTATTCACAATATAATAAATCAATCCCCCTCGTCCTCCTCTTCTTCCAGAGCACGCTTTCTCTTTCTTGATGCAGATTCTTTCTTTGTTGACTTTTTGGAAGCTGATTTTGATTTTGATGAAAAATCTTCATCGTCACTATCATTACTTTTTCTTTTCTTGGATGTTGTTTTGCTTTTACTTTTTGTTGGCATTTTGTTTGTGTTGAACTCTTGGAATGCTGCTCTTATTCTACAAAAGATAGAATCACATTCTCCATGCAATAGGTAATGAAAAAGTTTGTTTTTTTTAGCTTTACTTGGCTTGATCTACTGCTTTTAGTTTAGTAAAGTTATGTATTTCATGAATACCATGAAGCTTCTTTGTCTCAGGATGCTTCCAGAAGCAGTCATAATGATGCCAAGCAGTATTTTTATAACCTTCATCATCTTGTAACATAAGAGCCAATCGCAATGCGTCCTGTTCGATATTTGTCTTGCATTGACGACATTTTGCTCTAGACGATTTTGCATAATCAGCTGTGCAATGATAGCCAACACGACGACTTGCAGATTCTCCTAGTTCATTGTTGTTAAATCGCTTCAACATTTGCAAATCGTATAAGTTGTAAAAGCAAAGTTGTCAACTTTCGTTCTTCTGAAACATAAGACCAAGGTTATTACAACATATTTTTTTATCTTTTCTATTAACAATGAATTCATTTCTTTTAGTTCGTCTTACACAACTGAAAGAAAATTTGATTCTTTATTATAGTCAATGATATCATCATTTTGTGTGACACATAATTAACTGAAAAACCACAAATCATACTGGCCTATATTGACAAGTCACTTTCTAACATACGAAGTGAGTATTGTATGACTCAGATGATTGAGCAATTACGAGCGCTAAGAGCATCGTATTAGTAGCTTATATAGAGAGCGTTACTAGATGTGAGATTACTTTTAAATCAAATAACATACATCATGCATACTAGAGGGTAGAATGTACTGAGCTGAGATCGGGCTGATTCGATATTGCGATGAGCGCCTGCAGGCCGAATATTGAGTAAAATATAAAATTTTCCAAATATGTTGCTCATTTCTTTTCACTATATATTTTTCGACAATCTTATGTCATTCTCGCATTCGCTAAACCATTTTGGTAATGAACAGCAAATATATAAAGCAAAACGAAGTCGTTCATCAACAATTACAATATCATCATTATCAATCACTTTTTCTAATTCTAATACTATTCCTACTGAACATTTTTAATCGCCAATTTTTGTTCACACTTTTTCTCCAAATATCGTTGCTAATTTCAAAGTACCATATTTTTATCATGATTTTTTATGTTCAAAATTTCAAGATATACTTTTGAAAAAACTCGACAGTGTGCTGAAATAGTTCTTCTATAAAAATAACATGGCAAAGAGACATAATAAGAGATTCAAAAACAAGAAGAAAGACTGAGAAGATAAGATAAAATAAGAACACACATTATGACATATTTTCTTCGTTGCAATAGAGAAGACGAATAAATCAATTTAATGCCTTATTCTAAAAATAAAAACATGCAATCCTACGAGTGGAGGCGTAATCTGTTGTATTGATCGTAGGTGAGTCAGCTTATCGGCTTACAGCTCTATCTACGAGTGAAATTTTATTAGGTTTTCTAGAGTTTACATAGAAGGCTTTTAGATATGAATAACTGCGTCAAAGTTAAAAAAAACATTCGCATGGAAGCAATATCTGCAGTAGTTCTCACGAACTTCATATATAACTAAAAATGAAATACAGCAAAAAATATTCTTTCATTCGTTATAAAACCGCCGAACGATATGCAGACAATAATCAAGCTTCTATACGTCTTATGTATGATTGCAAGTGCATGGGCTGCACCAGGTAGTTAAATAACGACGTAGAAAACGCAAGTACACAGTGTGAGCTCATATTAAATATTTTTCTTTCCAGTTATCAATAAACCGAACAGCCTACTTTCGGATCTTGGTGCTATAGCAGTAAGTATATATATATGTAGCTAATCACCAACCGATATGTTTTACGCATATCATTCACTATTTCTTTACAGATCAATATATGTCCAATACCGATGTGTTTACCAATGCATCTACCCTGTGCTAATGTCCAAACAAGTTACATAACTATGCATGGCAAAAAATGTCCAATGTGTCCGTATTGTGCTACACCCACAGTTGAACAATCATAAAGTTCTAATTATAATAAAGGGAAGAGTTATCTCATACATTCATGAAAAGAAAAGTTAATAAATAATCAAACTAAATCTATATATCAATATATGTACACGCTACAACATTGATGATAAAGTGAACATAATAATGTTCATGAATTCATCTCATAGACAACAATAGATATTGATAACTATGGCATTTAAACAACAAGTCTACAAACATTCTATATCGATTTTTCATGGATTTGTGAAATTTGTCTTCTATATTTTACGTCTTACGTACATTCAATATGTGTGAGTGTACATAATAGTAATTAAAATAAGATACAAAATAACTGATGTAACATGATGTAGAAAAAATCGTCTTGAATGCGTAGATGAAATCTCTAAAGTATGTAAAAACAAAATTGTTTAAATTGGCATAGAACTGCTATTAAATAAATATAAACAGCTTTCTGTAATGATATATTACTCATATATGCAAAACAGTGAGAGAATTGGTTTAATCATAAACAATGAAAATTCAACAATAAGGGTTGAGTCAATAATTGAAAGAACAATTGAACTGGTAATGATTTTTCTCCTCAAGTCCGTATTATAGTCATTTAGATTACTAAATTAAAATTTTATATTCATAGACATGAACATTGATTCTCAATCTGTTCATACTTTTTTTTCTCATGTTTTCTTGTCTATGATAATGTTAATGATCTATTGCACAAACGATATGACATTTTTATTCTTATTTGAAGTAGTAGTAGTAGTAACATGAAATACTTTTAGCTCACTTAATGTTCATCTTCTATGCCATTCACATAATAATGTTAGCTAGTCATCTTGAATTTTTTAAGAGTGGTCACAATACGCATGATGAAGTAACAATATACTTTATTGATATAATTGATCAGACAATAGTAAGAAATTGATTTTTTCTAGATGAATTTCGAAACATTCTTCAAACGTCACTACTCATTCTGATAGTTTATAGCCGCCTGTCGTTTATTGTGCTTCACTGAATGTTTCCATTTATTAATCATTGCAATCGTTAGGCAGCAAAGAAAATCTCTTCATTTTGCTTATTAACTTGACAGAATCTATTCCCATTCAATTAGCACCACTGGCCGGTAATATCAGCAGCGAACAAGCTATTAGTAGCACTATATCGTTTTTTTTGTAGCCAAAGACATTATTCCACCTATGAAATATGATACATTCGCTTTGTGATAAGTGAACAATGATTCTATGTAAGACAATCAACATGAAAAAAAAGACTCAATAATGAAGATGAAAAGATGAATTTTGGAATCTTCAATTGAAAAATATGACTGTTTTGCTCACTCATTGCTGTCATTTGAATCTCCTCAAACATTATAATAATCATTTCACAAGCGCTTAATTATGATGCAGCTGGTGATAATAGTAATCCCAACGTAGTCTGATCATTAAAAATTTTCTATGACGTATATTATCATTTAATCCTGTGCTATTGTAAATAGTATCTCGTTAGTCATATGCTGAAGTTCGACCATATGTCACTGACTGGATGAGTGTTAATGTGTTATTCATTCAAGACTGAGCTGTTATAGAGTTAAACTAGTTACAACGTTCTTCTTTCATAGACAGTAATGGTCGCGAGTTCCAATCACGATAACGTAACTATCGTCATATATAAAATTAAACTTCATATGAGCCTCAATGTGACAATTACTATCCAATGACGATAGCAAGGTATACTAAAGTTACTCAAATGAACTTAATGGCATTGACAAGGTCGATCACAAGGTATTAATAGTTTGTCAAATGGGTCTATTGAAATTTATTTGCATTAATGAATATTGAAAAGATTATTCTTCATTGAATGATATGAGAGACGATAGGCGAAGAGTCGTCATTGCCGAAGGACATTTCATACTATGAAATACACCTCAGTCACAAACCGAAACTAAAAGTTTTACTGAGAAACCAAGTCTATATACTATCTCTAGTTGAATTCTCTTCTATTATCATTAACACTGATGAAATCCATGGCTACATATCAAACGTAAGATATCTATTTGAGTTACGATTAATCGACAATATCGATTCGTACACACTCATCATTAATCATAACGAACAAAATGCACTTCACATTCGACTTGCATATCTATTTGCTGTTAATGACCATTGATATGTTGTGATCATTTAAACTTTATCTAAACTGAATTGAACAAGTTAGTTTGATGACTTACAAACCCATAGAAAATATAAGACAGATTCAATGACAATCGCAAAAGTTCACTAAGATAATTAATAATAGAATATAATGAACCTTATTTAATGACATTTTAGTATTACATTCAGAGAAATTTGTACATTCATTAAAAGTTGTTATTTGTTTTTGATTATGAACACATCTATTGTCTAGAAGTATTGTTATTTTCAGTTCTCAACTATTATAAGATTTGTATCCATCTTATCTCCAGACAACAGTAAATATTTTTTTTTGTTTTGGTCAATACATCTTATTGTGTAAAAAATTGATATAATTTTTATTTTGTATACAATCTTAGAAATGAAGTTTACCCCATATTATTTATAAACAAAACTCAAAAAAACAAAACAAAAAAAAAAAAAAGAAAAAGAAACCAATCAAGCAAATTTACAGCAGCCCCCAGATGAATTTCTATCATTATCATTTTGCCGAGATGAGGATGACGATGATGATGATGATGATGATGATGATGACGGTTGAATTGAAACTTGAATGGACGATGTACGTCGTACCAATTCTTTACGGTTTGATGTTTGATCATAACCAATAATATTTTCTTTAATTTGTCGTAGCAATGATTCATTTTGTAGAATACGTAAGATTAATTGCTTAAACATTGCTTGAATATTATCACCACGTAATGCTGATATATGATAAATTGGCATATTATGTGATGACGCAAAATGTTCGGCACGTTGAAAAAAAATTCGTCGATAATGTACATCACAATTTGTTTCAAATAAATCAATTTTATTACAAACAAGTATAGCTTCAACATCATCTTTTCCTTTTGTTTGTAATTGTTTATACCAATAAAGTTCAGTACGTTCAAATGAATCAATATCTGTTGAATCTGATAGTAAAAGTGCACCATGACAATTACGAAAATGATTATCACAGCATGATTCATATCGCTCCATTCCAGGTATATCAGCAAGTTGAATAATAATAACATATTTATTTTCATATAATTGATCCAAATAAAAAAAAACAAGATCAGGTCCTACAGTTGCTGAAGTATTTAAATGTACAAAGGATGATTGTGAACCATATTGTAGACAACGAGCAAGTGTTGTTTTACCAACATTAGAACCACCAAGAAGACTAAGACGAATTTTTAATGTCGGTTTATCATTCCATTCGGTGGGTGTACGACCAGATCGCATATTAAATGAAAGAAATTTATTTGCTAATGAAAGTGTCTCTTGTTGAGCACAATATTCTTCAATAGCATTTTTTAAATTAAAATTATGTACAAAACGACGATCACGCAATGGTTTATTTGTCATTGGAGATGAATTATGATCGCGTAACCAACGTTGTAAAGCATATAATTCATATGAATGACCCTATATTTATATTAAAGCAAGAGTATTTTCTTGTGATTCTGGTTTATAAAAATAAAACTTACATCTTCGATGAGTAAAACAGGATTTTGCATAATTTCTCGGGTTATTGGACAAAGGAAATCACGGGGTGGTGGTGCTGAAAATTGTTGACTGGTCATTGCTCTTTATTTATCTTTCTTGATGCTGTGTCTAGAATGAAAGAATACAGAAGCTATAAGGTGTTCGGTTGTTCGATGCGAAGTTAAAGGCATGCCGTTTTGTCGTTTTTCTTTTCTTCACTTTTTTGCTTTTAAAGATCAATAAGAACGAGCAAAAAAAAAATAAAGAACAGAAAGAATACAAGAGAAAATGGTGCAATGGAATTTAAGTTTCATGCTTGTATTCAATCTTGTCTTTAACTTTCTCTCGTTCGATTTTTGTTATGTCTCTAACAGCAGGAGTATAATCAAAGACTTAATATGAAGTATAAGAGGACAAAAAAAATGACGCAACTTTTCAATTTTATACATTTTATATTCTTTTTTCTCTCTTTTTTTTCAATATATATTTTCATCGTATGATCATGAAACTGATAATAATGAGAGTATACACTCGTGAATGGGAGAAAAAAAATGCGAGAATAGGTCGAGGATATGACTGAATACATACAAATACAGACATAAACTCACCCACATAGAGTAAGGACGTATGAAATTTTTTTTCAATAAACACTTAACGTCACTTTTCTATGAATACATTTTATCAGGACATGATTAGAAAGAAAATGTGGATCGAATCAAATTTTTGAGATAAGATTGTTTTTTTTTATAGTATATTTTTACATTTTAAATAAATACTATAACTTACGATGATTTATTCGAAGAACAAATATTCATCTGACAAAATTTAGGACATAAGTAACGAACATAATCACTTTTACATTCATGATTAAGAACATAATCACAAATATGTGCTGGTTCTTTATTGCAATGTACTAGAAAAAAAAAAAGAAATACAATATTTTTTGTTTCAAAAATTCAATAATTTTACCTATTTCACAATTATTTCCACTAAATGCAGGTAAACAGATACATAAACAATTAGAATTTAAATGTCCTCCATTTTGACACTGTTTTTTATTACAATACTCATATAAATAGTCGTATGCTTTATTATTATTTATCAAGGTTTTTGATTCGATTCTCTTGTTTTTGTTATTTTTCATGGTCGCAATTGTTGATGAAGTTGTTGATAAAATTTTATTAATTAATGTTTTTTGATTTTGTAATTGACCTTCATTTTGATTTGCTAACTGTAACATCCAAGAAAATGGTGGCATAGCTAATGTTGGCATTGGTTTTATTAAATCGAATAATTGTTCTCTTGGTTTATAATCAGTAAAATAATATGGAACAAATGATGAAGTATCATTATTATTATTATTATTATTATTGTTTATAAAATTCATATTTGGTGTTGTTGATAATGTAGGATTAAGAAAATAATCATTCATATCAAAATCTAATTCAGAGTTTGGTTCTGATAAATGTTCAACACGTGTGATTGGTGGTATTGTAGTTGTATCAAATACTGACCATTCATCTTGGTCTACATGTGTTAAATCATTTGTTGATGAAATTAATGTAGAAGTACTCGTTCTTATTGTTGTTGTTGTTGAAGGAAAATTATTAGATTCAATAACTGGTGGATATGAAGCATCATTTAAATCCCACCAATTAAGTTGCGAATCTTGTTGAGCAACTGCTAAACCACCAGCTATGGTACTACTACCACCACCAAATTCTTCAATAAAATCAAAATGTTCAATAGATGGAATTGAAATACTTGATGATTCAAATGCAACATCTGTAACTTCTCGAAATTCTGTTAAAAATGACGACGAAGTACTAGTCATTGGTATTGTCGTTGTTGTAGTTTCAAAAACAGAAAAATCTGAATCAGGATCTTCCCATATGACGTTATTATTATCATCAATATCAACAGTTGTACTAATTGGAAGAGTAGCAGTGGTAGTAGTAGTTACTGTTGTTGTAGTACTTATAGTTATTATTGAAGAATTTTTGATTGCATAAATTGGAGGAAATTTAATAACAGCTGGTAATTGATTATGAAAAATACCTAAATATGATATAATGATGGATATTGAAAGTATTCTTAGAAAAAATAAACAAGAATTAGTACAAACCCATGATAAAATCAAAACTAATGCCGTTACATCTTAAATAAAAAGCAACAAAAAACAAAATAATTAGTTAACAAATAAAGTTATTTATAGTACAGAGATTCTTGACAGAAAAATGCATCTGAACCAAGTAATTTATGAAGACCACTTTTAGCATGTATTTGTGGCCATGTTGTTGAACAATCTCGTGTAATTACTATAGTTAAAAGATAAATAAATGACTTAAGAAGAAAAAGGATATCATTGATGTACATACAATTATGATCATTTGGATTTCGAAAGACTACACAACTTGATGCACATGGACGAATATACTTTGATACATGATGTGGATCCAGATATTCACCACAACCAGTTGAACGAGCTGTGCACGAATAGCATTGACGTAATTGACGTGGTACAGTACTGATAGGAATTAAAGGTTGATCTAAATTCATTTGTAATATGTAAGTGATTAAATATAGAACAATAGGAACAATCTACATTCATTAATCCATTGTTTATTATTGATGATATAAGACTCTAATCACTCGAAAACCTATACTAACTAATGTATAAAACTTACCAGTATGCATCATTATAGGAGTATTTCCTGCTAGGATGAATAATTGTTGAGGAGTAAGTGTTTGTTTAGGAGGTCGTTTGAATTCATTCTTTATTATTCCTTTTCTTATCATTGATGTTTCTGGTTGTTCATAAGTACCATTATTACATAGAAAACTATCACAAAAATACGCTTGTATACCCGGAGTCAATTCATACCATCCAGTTGATTTTGGTGTCATATGACCATATGTCCATGAACATCCACGTATTGTTGATTTATTTTCATTTCGAAATAAAACACATTGACCATTACATGGTTCGGTATAAAATTGAAGAACAGATGTATAAATAGGTGAATCTGATTGAACAGTACCAGCACATGCAGCAAGTGTCTTTTCTGAACATAAATAACATCGACCAGCAGCAGCGTCAACAATACTTGTTGGTATTGTTAGTAGGAAAATAATAAAGACAAAAATTAATAAACGTAGCTCAGTCACAATCATTCTTATCGAATGATATATGCCTGCATCTAGAGCACAAAGAAGACATATGTAATAAATATTTAATCGATAGCTGATGAATCTTATCTATCTGCATAAACTCACGTTTTTTAGTTTTTGTTCAACCTTCATCAACTATTTTAAAAATATCCGGCCTTGTTCTATTCTTATACATATAAAAAATGATCGAGTATTTCTTTTATTCATGAATACATTGTTACATATACTTTTATTGATTGTTACTATAGAACATAAGCTTACGATCATTTACTAATTACTGTTCAAAACGTGTTTAGATACTGAGGTCGTAATCTTTCATATAAAGAAAGAACAATAGTGAACGCTAAGCTCGTCTTCTTAGTCTTGTCTTATTTATGTAACCAACGATCAAGACACATCACCTTTCAATTTACGTTTCATGTATTTGGTTACATTTACACCTAGTCTTTTAATAAGGGCTGACCCGAAGTAGTCAACATTGGTGGAGGTGTCGCGATTTTTTGAAAGAATATAAAGATTTTTTTCTCTAAGAGAACGCACGAAAAGTGTTCGACTTCACTGGAAAAGCGCATTCGAGTATCAAGCACTCTAAAAGATGAGAGTAGATACGACTGTTCGCCAGTCCAGAAAATATTTCAGTATTTTTTTCTTGAAATCAATTCAGTGAGGACTCCTAATATGACTTCAATGGTTTATTTCGCGACGTCTCTTGATCAAGTTTTCAAGTCATGTTCATAACTCTAGAAGAATAGCTAAGTTTTTCTTGATTTCGTAGAAGAGTCCGGATACATCTCGAAAACCTGATCGAGAGACTCTGCGAAATAAATCTTTGCAATGTTATCAGGTGTCGCCAATGGATTGATTTCAACAGAAAAAAAANCACTTTTTTTAGCTACGTATTTGACGTTATCAATGAACGTATTGTTCCTTTTTTTCAATGAAATAAAATAAATATTTTATATTTTTCATCTAACAACATTTTCACTGATTCGACATTTTTTTTCATTCGATTTTTTTTTCTTTCGATATTTTTTCCTTCGACATTTATTTTTCGAGATATTTTTTTCGACGTTTTTTCCTTCGACATTTTTTCTTTCGACATTTTCAATACATACCATGAACAGAAATCACAAGAATCTTTTAGATCACGACAAAAATAATATGGTTCAAGAACAAGCATATAATGAACCACTTTTTCATAATGACAACTTTTCTAAATGGTTGTAAGTTTAAATAAAAATCAATTGTAAATAAAGGCATATGCACTCTTCAATTGAAATGTATCTTTTCTTTTTGAGAAGACATAGTGCTTTGTTTTAAAGATTATTGAAATCAATTTCTAAACAATTAATCGAACTCGTTGCAAGAAGATGAAGAAAATTTTTTGTTGTCTTTCATCAAAATGTTTCCAATACGAATACTTTGGTAAATTAGAATCGGAATTGGCAGATCCGAACTTTTTTACTATTAAAATCATCCATAGTTAGCTATCTCTCGCAGAGTATTGAGACATTGATATGATGTATTTGTCATTGACAGAAAACCATTTTTATTTTGTTAGAGAGTATTCAGTATTTGCATTATTTTAATATATTTTTTTCTGTCAGATTGATTCTTTTATAACTAACTCAAAAGGATTTAATGAATATATCATAAAAGTTTTTAGAAAGAACGATATCTATTTTCCCAATTGGATAAAATGATCAAAACATAGTGTATCGAAAATTTTCTGTGCAATCAACATTACTTCCTCGATTATTTGAAATAATCTCTCCAGTTTTTAGTTAATGATGAATTTATGTCTATATTACTGATGAACATCAGTTGTATATTCTTCATTATTGATTATTATATCGTAGAAAATAATAATGAAACATATTTAACTTTCTCAGATAATCCATAGAAACACATTATTTTTACTTCAATGACAGAAAGATTTAGAGAACATAATCGAATGTTTTCTAGGTAAATGTATATATAGTCTATCAAATTGATATTTTGTTTTTATTTCTTCCGAAATAAAATGATTATGTCAACATACCCGGAGGATTATTAGCACCGAGATAATTAACCTCATAATATTTCACTGGACAATTGACTTCAAGATCAATACTAGCTTCATGTGTTTGTAAAATTTTTGTTGCCTCTTGAGATGAAAGTCGTTGTTCTTGTTCAACTGTTTCATCAAATAGATTTCCTTCAATTGAATCACTATGATAATATGCTAAGGAAATGATTTGTTTTTTATAAAATGATAATAAATAAGATGAATATTTCGAACAGAAAGATGTATTATTTAATAAGAAATGTCGAATCATTTCATCTTTAAAAGAAAAAAACATAGAAGAATCATTTTGTTCTCTTTTACCATGACGAAATACAACAACAACAACAAAAGACAAAAAAAAAAGGAAGTTTTATTTGCAAAAAACTTTTCTATATATATCCATCATCAATTTAACTTTTTCTCTATCTGTTACTTGTATTGAATCATCTTCATCATCATTATTTAATCCATTTAAAGAAATTTTTTTTTGAAAATTTTTGTAAATCATCTTTGATGGTTTACGTATACGTGCTGATGCATGAAATTCTTTAGCTCCTGTTTCACGTAATATTGATTCAAGATTAGTTACATTTATACCACAACCAGGTAATATAATAATACGATTTTGTGAATAATTTATCATTTGACGTATACATTTTCGTCCATAATATGCATTTGTTTCTTGTCCACTTGTTAAAATACGTTGAAAACCAAGTTCTATTAATTGATCAATACCAGTTTCCCATTTAGAAATAAAATCAAATGCACGATGAAATGTTAATGATATATCTTTTGGAATTATTTTTATTAAACGTTTTAAACTTTGAATATCAATTGTACCATCAGAATCAAGTGTACCTAATACAAAACCATTTATTTGTTGATTTGATTCTATAAATGAATGAATTTCTTCTTCCATAACACTTAAATCATTATCATCATAAATAAAATCTCCTGGACGACATCGTATCATTATAAATATAATTAATTCTGATGGTAAACGACGACGAATTAATCTTAATAAACCAATTGATGGTGTTAAACCACCTTGTTCTAATGAACTACATAATTCTATACGATGAGCACCACCTTGAACAGCTGCTAAAGCTGATTCAAAACTATCAACACATACTTCCATTTTAAAAAAAACGACAAAAAAAAAGATGTTTTTTTCCTTTTGAATACAATAAAAACAAAATGGGAGAAAAAAAACGAACAAAAAAAAAAAAGAAAATTAAAAAAAGAAGACTCAGTAGAAAATTTTGTTTTTAATGAAATAGTTTTTTACCACGATGGTTAAATGTCATAAATGATGGACGGTTACCAATTGTATCCCAAGTTTTATTTTGCCACTCAGCTGTAATAAGTATTGGTTTAAATTTACCAAATAATTGTACTGTACCAATACAACAAGCAAAAAAAGCAATTAATGTTTGAACAATAATATCTGTTGGTAAATGTTCAAATTGTTGTTCAGTTAGACGTACGTATACACGATGTTGAGCTGCCGAATAACCAGCGTGTGCAAGAGCAAATAAGCCGATTATTAAAAGAATTTTTTGGCCCATCAAATGATAGTTTAATCCAGAAATGAGATAAATAATGATGACTTTCTTTTTCTTTTCTTTTTCTTTGATGTACACTTCGGAGGCGAGAAAACTTGTTTTATTATTGGTTTAAAATGTGAACCAATCAGATATTCTTCGATTTAAGAAAGAAGGAGAAAGAAAGTTAACATACAAGAGCATTGAAGATATTTTATTCGATATCTTTGAAAAAAATTTTACAATGCCAAGAAGAGTAAATTATAAAGAAATAGAATTTTGTTGTTTTTGTCTAATTTAATTAAACTTCTGATTTATAGGTTAATGATGTATCAATGTTGGAGCAGTTACAATCTGTTGACGATTATTTCCCATTATTTCTTGAACAAACTCTTCAACTCTATGCTTTACGAATGAAAGATAATGAAGATCAAGTTGATACTGTTGTAAGTAAAAAACAAAGGTTTTTTTTTATTGTATAATTTAATAGTGTAAATATCGACGCCTTGAATAAAGAACACGTTTTAGAAATTTTTGAATAACTTGCGTATACAAAGTAATATCGTGATGCAAGTTTCACTATTATATAGAAGATACTTCAACCCTTATATCCATGTCGAATAGCGGTATTCAAATTTCTGAAATTACGAACATATTTTAGGAATTCATGAAGAAGTAAGAAAATTTCTAAAATTCCTTTAGCATCAATATAGTTAAACCAACTGATAAATGTATAGAAATAAAAAAGTCCATCTTGAAAACTATACGAGTTTTCAGTAGTTTTTGAGAGATCACATCATTTGGAGTTATAGAACCTCGCATACTTATACTAGAATAGTATTGCGTATTTATCTTTAGCAGAAATGTTAGTAATTTTCCAGGTAATTCTTTCTGATGAATCGGTAATTAGAGAACTTCCTTAGAAACTATCATTTCATTTGTTGATAGTTTCGAAATTTTTCGTTTTTGAAAATCTGAACATGCATTAATATAATCAATGAATTTTTTTGACTTACATTTTGTTTTTTTCATCTCTTAAAATATTTTTTCTTAAACTAAAGTTCTTTGCGTCACATAATTCAATCAATACGACAAATGCAAATCTTGACACTCTGTTCAGAACAGAAAAAAGATTTCTCACGAGAGAACTACCAGTGTTTCGTCCAGATTCTCTCCTCCGGGACGTACGATTTACAACTCCGAGAGGACAAACATCTATTTTCAGGAACATACACACATGGAAATGGTACAATAACCACACACTTCGGAAGGGTTGATTAAATCTTTGAAGAGACGCCGCCCTTACTCTGGAAGTTAGTTCAAATATAATCTTTCGTTTGAACTCACATTGATTCCACAAGGTAAAACTAGAAAAATCTTACAAGAGTGCATGCCCATGCATCTGTGAAAACGAGTTCTGGTCGTTTTACTGAATTTCGACCTGAAATTTAGCCTATAAATAGATCTCATGATTCTTAGAATATCCTAAAAGTTTCAACCGAAACAAGTGTTCCTTTGCCGAGATATTAAATTTCCAATATATAGTCGCTTGTCACAAAAATTGAGTTTACTTGGAAGTTCAATATCTCGACGAAGAAACATTCTTTTAAACTAAAACTTTCAGGATATTACGTAACGATTTCTGGAGATACAGACTTCATTTTTAATTGTATGATTCATAAAAATTTTGAAAATATTCTTGATCTCATAGTTGATAAAATCCTTCTATTAAACCATCAGTGGTGTGTCCCAGTAATGCAACCCATAGTCGAGTACGAAATGTTGCACCGTGCAAGTTTCTAAATTGCAGATCAAAATTCTGTTATTTAATTTTCCAGTATATAAATAAAAATGGATCGAAAATTAAGTGAAATGACAATAGCTCGACTCTAGACACTCATGCGTACGAACCATTTCAAGCTTTTTCTACTCTTATCAAGACTTCCTTCTTGACGAAATAAGAACTGAAACAGTGAGTTACAGTTTATGTCGCTCCCTCATCAGTATCAATTTTCTAAAGACATTTTTTTTAGAAATTTCATATACCAGGATTATGATGCTATTAGCTGAATAGTAAAATACATCTTTTAGTTCCATCTTTGAATGGAATTTATTATATGAAAAAAACCAAGAATATTTCTAATATTAAATATGAAAAAATATAAAAATTTTGTTTCTTTTTTATTTAGACTGATCGTTTATCTGATCGCGATATTCTTGTTGATTCAGTACATATGTTTCAAAATTGTAATATAGCATTACTTGGTGGTAATAATGATGAATGTGTAGCTGTATCAAATATATATCCATATGGTCCAGGTATGTTGATTGAAAATTTTATTTTTGATTTATTAAAAGAATAATTGCAATAGTAATGAGAATAAAAACATAAATTAAATTTAATATAATTTGTATACCTGGTATTGATAAATTTGATAAAGTATTTTCAATTAAACGTAATATACTTATAATTAAAATAGTTAGTATATTTATTTGTTTAAAATATTTAGTTAAAAAATTTTCTTCATATTCTTTTTCTTGAGCATAAAAACGTAAGTTTGTATTATCAATAAATTCAACTGAACGTATAATAAATAAGCGATTATTAAGTTGCAAATAATTATTTGTATTTAAAAATTGTATTGATGAATTTAATTGTGTTTGTTGTTTAAGCCAATTACGTTCTGTTTCATTATTTTTATATTCACATGTTACAAGTAAATTATTAGTTTTTTCTGTTGATATAATTGAAGATTTTTCATCCGATGTTTGATTATTCATTAATGAAGCTTGTTTTAATTCTTCAATTCGTTGTGCTATACTTGATTTAATATGTTCAGGCCGACGAAGTTTTGTTAAAGCAAGTACATCAGGTGTTAATGGCGTTCGACGACGATTACGTAAATTAGGTTTAACAATAGAATTAGAATATATTCTAGATTTTGTCGTTTGTATAATTGATGAAGGTTCAATAATTTGACTCGGTCGTATGAGCATTGATTGTGATAGATCAGTACCTGATGGCGTTATTGAACTTGTATGATTTTTAATTGCTTTAGAAAATTCAGTTGATTTTAATGTTTCTGATGAAATTTTTTCATTAAAATTTGATGGTAATGGTGGTGCACGAGGAATAGTTTTTATTGAAGATAAATCTTGATTACGATTAAATGTTGTAAGCATAATACCTGATCGAATAGTTGTTTTTGGTAATGATTCTGATAGAGCAGATTTATTTATATTTAAAGTATTATGATGAATTTGTGGAAGAAGAACAAGAACATTTTGTTTGTTTTGATTATTAACTTGTGATGTTAAAGAAGAAAAACGTCGAATAAATTGGCGTTTAACACATCGACCAAAATGAATGGATTTTTGTCCAAATGAATAACTTCGATGATGCCCTATAGAGGGCATTTAAAACATCCAAACAAATAAAAAATAGAAGAAAACAAAACAAGATTTTTCGAAACGATTTTATTTGCATGACAACAATAATAATTGTATAGAATGAAAATCATATAAAGCTTAATAGAAGAAAAAGTCTCTTAGAAATAATTAGTGAAGGTTCTCGAGATGATTAAAATCTTTTAGGCCCATATTGTACTTTGTAGTAGGGATTGATAAACTAGAATATCCTTCAAAGGTTTCGTGCCGATCTTAAGATTTTATCGAGCTATTGACTTTTTAGTGAACTTTCGCCTGAAAAATATGCCCAAATGAAAGTCTTAGTGAGACTAGCTTATGCACAAAATTTAAGAATTGATATCTTGTAAAAACGTGCATAAGCTAGTCATACTGATACCTTTATCTAGATAAAGTTCTGAAGTAAAAACACTCGGCAATTGGATTTTAGCAAAAAATTTGGGTCTATACGGAGAAAACTCACTAAAAAATGAAATCTTAACACCAGAATGAATCCTTTGGAGTCCGTTCTAATCTAAAGGTTTCCTACCATTGAAAAAAATATGAACTCAACTATTTTTAATAATATCGAAGTCATTACTCGTAACTCTCAATTAAAAATAAATTCATTATTGAATTAAATTCAAAGTTCATTTTATTTTAATAAAAACAAAAATATTCGATTTATTCAAAAGACAAGAAATATTAAAACAATCATAAGAATAATAATAATCGTTGTACCGATACTAAAAATTGTTATTGTTCTAAATGAAAATTTTGTTTGTCGTTGTTTTACATAATCATGCGAATTGAATAAAATATTCGATTCATCACAATGATCAATTGTAGTTTCTTGGTTTGGATACATATGTTGTTTATAAAGTTTATTAGTAAATGGTATTCGAAATGTAGTTATTGGTTGAATGGAATCAGCTGATATAATTGATGTTGTTCGTTGTTGTTGTTTATCATCGGATTGATAAGATGAAATAGATTTTGTTATACGACCATTACCTAAATCTATTTCATATTCACATACATCGATAGATGGTCGTTGTTGTTGTAATGAAATATCACCGAAGTTAAGATCTTTTTCTAAAGTTTAATATATGTTGGCGTTTAATCTCAGATCTGCTTAGTAGAGTTCAGTAGTTCCAAAAAGAAACTGGAACCGAGAAACGAATTGGAAACGTTAAAACATTAGATACAAAACAAAAATCTATGTCGGAAATGCTGCAATATGTGGTATCTTTAATCGCCACATAGATTTAAAATTTTCGCATCTCACTGATGATTTAATGATTTCGATTCCGCGTGGTATTTTGAGAACCAAAAGCGGAGTCGCCGAACACTACCGCGTAGGTCAATGACGAAGTGTAAGGTTAATACCACCAATCTCAAATTAGAGATTAAGAATTTTTGCACAGTGGGCAACAACGTGAACAATAGGTGAGAAAATGTGAGTCAGCTGGTTAGACATTAGAATAATAACCTATACACTTTGATAAAGGGCTAGTTTTTTGGTAACAAAAACTTTGTTCCAACTGTTAAATTTATTATACAGAAGTAGTTTGAGAGAAAAATACAGACATATTTGGAATCAGTGTAAAAATCTGCATCGAATGATGTATCGTTTGCCAGATTTTGAAATAAAAAGTTTTTTCACAGAAGTTTAGACTAAAAGGTCTCTTTCAGGGATTTTCTATCTCCGATGGTCTTTTTTTCAATCTTATTTTGGAGTATATTTCTATGAGAAAAGTTCGTTTCTCACATAAAATAAGTCATGTTCATGTGTTCGATAGACATTGTCCACTATGTAGTATAATCTATGTGGACGTACGAGTTCAATCAAGAGAATCTATTGTATAAGAATTGAAATAGAAAATTGTGGATGACATCAAATCACCGTTTATGCTAAAACAAATATTAAGAAAGTACGTCCACACTTTTCGTTGATTATTTTTGTGTTATCTCTTTATGATCAAGTATTATATTTTGTTGAAAATGAAATTTCATTTGCCTTGGTTAACATTAGCTTTAATGTTATACGTTAGTCGATCCAAGATCGGTTGTATTATAACTGATCAATTCGACAATGATCTATATTCATGTCGGATTTCCGATAGGACGCTAACATACTAGTTTCCTTTGTTTTTATTGTAATTACCGTTTTGATCATAATAAGATTGAGTTATTCTATTTTCATTATCTGTTTTTGGTACTTCATTAGATTTATTGGTAATTTGCATGGTCATATTAGGAGAATATTCGTTCGGTATTCGTGGAATATCTATGATAAAAATATCTCTTCTTTTTTTGTTTTAATTTGAAAATAGATTTAGTGATTGAATACCTGTTTGACTTTGATGTGAAAATAATTCAAATAAATTCTCTCGATCTTTTGATAGTTCAATATGTGTATCATCACCATGAGCTTGATTTTCATTGAATATTTTTGTTATTGTTTTTAATGGTCGAATTTTTTCAAAAACTTCATTATTATTTATAGTTGTTATTAAACCATAATCGTTTATCGATGAATCTTCATCAATTTTGTTTAATAGACATTTTTCAACTATCAATGAAGATAGTTCATTATTATCATCTGATGAAACTGTTTTAGTCATATGAACTAATTGATAATTAATAATTTTCGATTCTATTTATAATTCATTTAAATTGAATAAGATAAAAAATAAATAGATATGTGATTTTAGAAGACAAACAAAACATCTAAGTGAATGAGTAAATAGAATATTGTTTTCTATATTTTATTTGGTTGTTTTTTTTTTTGTGAATAGTAAATATGAAAAATAAAATAAACATTGGCGCTTTTAGAAAAATTAAAGCTATTTAATAAAAATAAAAACACTAAAAAAACCGATAATAGCTGATAATGTAACAAAAGTTATAGCTGAAAGTATTTTATGCTGTTTAATTTTATGAACAAAACTATAATTGATATTTTTAACAGGTTCTTGAGTTATTTGATTTGATAATTCGATTCGTGTATCGATTGGATTGTTATTTATAACGGATTCTAATTTTGATACAGATCGAAGATTCTCATCTACAATATTATTTGTTCGTGGTTTATCTTTATATAGTTCAACTGGAAGATGATTTCGAATAGCAGTATCAAAAATATGTTCAAGTTCAGTAAAGTCAATATGTTTTTGTTCGATTGATGATGATGGAATAGGTTTTTCATCGCCAGCGCCATTAAATATTTTTCGTCTTATACGTCTGTGTCTTAAATGTGCTGTTTTTGAACGATTATAATATGGATGAGCTTGATAAGAACTATTATTTGCTAATGAATGATAGATTCTTGAACGTCGTATAAATAGACGACCATATTTTTTCTTCTTCGGCTAACAGAAAACAGAGATTAAATAAGAGAGAAAATTAGCAAAAAGATTTTGAGTATTTGTGTAACCAAGGATGGACTAGACCATAATTGGGATCGAACCGGCCGGTCTCCAATCTAGCACCATTAGAATCCAAAACGTAATAATTACCATGATTGACACTATATATAGTGGTCTTTTAGATTTAATGGCTCGTCTACAACATTCAGAATTTGTCTATGTTGTGTCTACTTTGATCTTATCGATTTTGACACTTTCATGGAAAGAGAATTTCTTTTATTTTACTAACACTGAGCGTTATGTTAGCAATTAAGTCCGTAATTACGTGCCAAGTGATTCTTATAGGAGTAAGGAATAGCGGCAGTCAACATTTTAAGGAAGTTGTATCTATCAGTTTTCTTCTCGATCGTAATAGTTAAGAATAAATCTAAAAAGAGATTTGAGTAGCTGAGGCGATCTGGTTCCAAGATTGGTATGTCTGAAAATTCCATTGAAACCTCTTGAATGAGAATTTCTAAAACATCAAGATCCCCAAAATCAGCTACCTACATTTCACCAATCTTTTTGCTAATTCCGTTTAATCAAACAAAATGAGTCGTCAACGAGCTCTTCACGACCGTGCATAGTCGAACTACGTTCAATTTGAATATGGTTTCATAAGCATTTTTCTATTACTTTGAAAAAACGCAGCGACAAGAGTTCGAAGAGGGCTCATTTTGCTCTATCAGACGGAATTGTTTTCGAAAACCTTCTGATTAGATCTAGGGAGCTGGTTTTTGAATCTTGATTTTCTAGAGATCCTCATCCAAGAAATATTAATAGAATTTTAGACGCACCAATCTTGATACCAAGTCGTTTCAACTATTCAAATTTTTTTTCACATTTCTTCTAGCTACTACTATCGAGGAGAAAACTCGACTACCTTAGAATTTTGTCTGCTACTATAGAAACCCGCTGTTTTCAATACAACCTATTTTATAACTAAACTTTTGAAATATTCCTAAAAACAAAAATGATAAACTGTATTTTTCTTTAGATTGCTTCCGTTAATTTTCTGAGAGAGTATTACTTCGATAGTTTAGACAAGTGTCAAACGGCTGAGTTGAATCAATTATCTTCTAAGGTTACATATCAAGAGTAGATTGGAGTAAATCTATCGATATTTCGTGCTTAACTATTTCTAATACAGAATATCAAAAGACTATTAATAAAATAACTCAAAACTCACACGAGATGTTGAATATTTTTTTGTTCGAAATAATCCACTATTATTATGTGATTGCATTTGAATCATATTTAGTTAAATTATATCATATTATGTATACATGAGAAATAAGATGAACCAAAAAATAAATATCTTTTTCTTTAGTTCTTAATATTCAATTTCTTTTTAATATATGAATTGAAATGCAAAAAAAACGAATAACAACAAATTCGAAAAATTTCAGAGCGCTTTCTATAATATTCTATTACTTTTAGGAATAATTACTATTCAAGAAGATACAAGAGGATTTATACGAAATAATTTCAATCAACAATTTATTATTTGGCCCTGTAAATATGATCCACAAGCAATACTACTTCTTATACTTGATCAAGCACTTGCTTATGTCCGAAAACAAGATAGAGGTAAAAACAGAATAACATTTATATTATTATTTACATATATATATATATATCTTCATTTAAAATAGTGGATGATACAGATGCAAATGTTCTTGCAATGTTTACAAAAACACTTGCTATTATTGATTGTATATCAACATTGATTACAATTCGACCGGAATATTATGATAGATTTAATGGAATTTTATTAAGAATTATTTATCTTTTACCAGGGTAAATTACAGAACCTATTTTATTGCATGTATGAATCTTGTTTTATAAAACACGATCTAAAAGGAGTTTTGAAGTATATTGATAAACATTTGGACTACCACCCATACAGACCGTTACAGGTAGAGTCCTTGCATCGAACTTCGACTTGTTTGGAGTCGATGTCGGAGTTATATCAAGAAAACAGTCAAGTAATATTATTCTTACATAGTAACAAGTCTATTTATCGTATGTTAAGTAATGAATACTGTATAGATTCATAGATAAGTTGCAAGAAAAAGAATATCAGAAAAATTCTGATTAATAAGATGCACAAAAAGAAGTATAGAGTGACTTCCAAATTTGATCAGACGCAGAGTGAATTTCGATTTTTTTTCGTAATACTAACTCGAATAAAGAATCAAAATAATGACTTGAGTTGAGAAAATTCTTTTCAACAATGATTTGGAGGAAAGAAAATCTTCATAATATTTCCAAAATTCAGCATCTTTAGAAATCCCCAAATTTGGTTTTTCAGCACACAAACTCCGAAAATAAAAGTTTCTTTTGATTATAGAGAACAATCGAGCAGCATTTTCTCTACAAAATGAGATGTCTCCGAGCTCTTCACAACGTTTGTATGACGGAGCTATATCAGCGTTAGGAAACGTCCAAAAATAGTTTTTCCACGATTACCTAATAGGAAACTTGGCAAAAAAAACATGTGTGAGCTTTTCTTAAAATTTATGCAATTCAATCAAAAAAAGTGTTCAGAAGAGCTCGGAAATATTTTATACTCGGATTCTGTGGGCTGAAAAACTAGAGTTGAGATTTTTTGAAGATCCTTGATTTTGGGAATACGGCGAGGATTTTATCTCTCTCAAATCTTGGTTGAAAATAATTTTCTCTATTCAAATTCCTCGTTGGTTTCTCTATACGAGTTACCATTATCCGGAGTTTTCCGAAGTCGAAAAGGTTTGACTCCATAGGATGCTAGTGACAGACATTGTTGATATACTATCATAGATCGTATATTAAATAACATCCCGCTATAATATAAGAGTCGCTTATTGCATTTCTGGAGGATTAAGTAAAACGATAGTGAAGAAATTTGTCCCAAAATAGATCGAATAAAACAATCTTCTTGTGATTAGCAACGGCAACTACATTGTGTTTCACAATTTAATTCTACAAAAATTGTGTTCATAGTTTTTTTCAATTTGCTTTAGTTTATGCAAAATGAATGTTATTCCATCTCATGTTTTAATACAAGCATTTCAAACAATGAAACATGCTCAGAGTATTTTCTTTAACAATTTTTTTTCTTCCTCATATAAACATTTTTCTCTTTTAGACTTGACAATTTTATTTCTTGATTCGAGTTTATTTCCATCATTTGTTGATAAAAATACAATTGTATCGAATGAACTTGATCCGACAGCTCGGTAAAGTCAGATAATTATTATATATTTTTTTCATTATTATTGTCTTCAAATAGATTACCTGAACTTGATAGTGCATTTTGGGGTCGATTAGAAATAATGTGTAGTGAAAATCAATATGCCGATGAATGGATTCCAGTATTTATTACATTACTCGAAGTCACACGAGACACTGTTCGTGTACGTTATCGATAGTAAAAACTTACTTTAAAAGACTTTGTGATTGTTTTGTTTTATAGATTAGTGAAACAACTGATAGTTTTCGAGCAATTATTTTTCATTTACTTTTTTCCACATTACCAAAATCCATAAAGATAAAACGATGGTTACCAATACGTGAACAATGTTTAAAATTAATATGGACTGTTATTATTCGTTGTTTACCATCATCATCAGTAAAAGTATCAACAGATGATGAACAAAACAAGTATATGCGAATTTATTTAAAGATTTTCGATGAAAATTTTCGTTTTATAGATCACCGATTTTTATCTTTGGTTGGCTACAACATCCATCTGTTAGTCAAACCTTACTTCAATGTGCTAGACCATCAGATACTGATACTACGTAAATTCTACAAAACAAAACTTTTTTATCCTTCTATTATTCATTCTTTAGATTATCTGATCCGGCAAATCGAATTCTATATCAATCATGTTTACAAAATTCTATGTCAATTATTTCATCTATAATTGATTATCAAGTAGAAAATTTTAAACAAAATATGAATACACCAAATAATCCATTTGCATCGAAATTATTAATTAAAGTTTGCATTGATTTCTTATTACAATATATTAATGATATAAAAGCACCAATTTGTCTACGATGTTTAACAAGTTTAGCTAAAGTAAAATAAAATCTTCATTTTCTGTTTTTACAAATATCATCTATTTCATCTAGATTACACCTGGACTCTCAATTTTATTAGAAACAAATATTGAACGATTTCGAACATTTATTATAGAAAGCATAAAAGATAGAACGGTAAAATCATTATCATTAGCTTAATCGTTTATTGTTTTGTGAAACACGATCTAATAGGAGTGCTGAAATATAGAGGTACAAATTTTCGCCCCTTCCTTACCGATCATGACAGAAGAAAAATACCCAGTCTTTTGGTTACTTAACGGTATAGGATGCTGTCCGAAGACAGTTTCCAAAGACCAATATTTTCCCTATAACTGTTACTAACTGAGGCTTTGAGTAGAGGGTCAGCGTGACTCAGAATTCTGTCGCTCAATCACTTTAGCTTTTCGCACATATTGGTCACAAGAGTCGATATATTTCACAACATAGTTAGTATACTATTGTACAAGTGATTCAAGACAACTTTTTCCAAGTCATTTCATGTCTGATGGCAACACAGTACCTTAGTAGGGCGTATCAAACAACTGAACCATCCAGTCATAGCGGTTCCCGTGACAGTTACTCTAGTAACACTCCCAGACCCTACACATAGACTGTAACAGACGCTATTGATATACAATCCAAGATTGTATACCAATAACGTCTTGTTCTAATATATAAACTACTTTTTTATTGCATTTCTGAAGGATTAAGTAAAACAATGGCGAAGAAGAGTGTTCTAATATATAGAATAAAATAATCCCTGTGCAATTAGCAACAGCAGCTATATCGTGTTTCACATTTTAATCTCATAGGAATCCTGCTAACAGCTTCTTTCTTTATAGTCTCCAGATTTAACAATGGCTATTTTGGATTTTTTGATTGTATGTGTTAATTCTCAACCAGCATTACTTGGTTATTTATGTGATATAAATACAAGTTCAACAGCAACATTTGGTAATTCAACAATTTTACAACCAGTTGTTGAATTACTTCGATGGAGTACACAAGTTAGAATATAAATATATAAAATATTTCATAAATTTATCTTTCTGTGATTGTTTAGAATACAAATGATATTGCTGCAAGTGATTTATTTATTTTAACTGTAACATTTATAACACAATTTTGGGAACAACATACTCAATTACTTGTAGATTATTTTGTCAAAATGCAAGAAGAAATTTTCATTAATGTTACTATTTATTATTTGAGTTTTATTTTAGAAATGACTTTTGGAAAAATATTTCAATACCAATCTCAAATACAAGTGTACGTATTGAATTAATGGATCCAGGTGATAAACGTGCAGTATCAGCTTCATTTCGTTTACTTACTCAACATTTACTTAATTATACTACGTTAGTCACTTCAATTAATAAAAACACTGTTAGATTTCTTTTTTTTTTCGATTTCCTTTAGTGATCAAACTGGAAATGATTTTTATGATATATTAAACAAATTAATTACTAATAATTGTCTACTTCATTGGATTAAAGTATATACATATATATTTATTAGATAAAATTTAATAAATAATACATATGAATATTTTAGGCTTGTCGAACATTTTTTCAAGAAAATATTGATGATGATAGGTTAAATGAACAATCATTATCATTTTCTTTTTTTTCTTCGGTCATCTATTTTACAAAAGCACTTCTTTGTTTAAATGTAAGCATATCAAGATTTATTCTAATAGAAAATCGACTAATTTGAATAGTATTGCTAATAGCGTACAAAATAATGTTATAAACGCTCTAGATGATGAATACTAAAGATTACTCATTTTCTGATCATTCACAGAGCAACAGAAAATATATATTAGAAGAATTCAAAAAACTAATTGAGATTTATAGAGAAGCGTAGAATTTACTCTGCCATTGACTTGCTTCCTTAGCGTACAAACCATTATCGTTTCGTATCATCAAAGAAAAGGGGCTTTGATAGGAGAGTTTTTTGCAAATTATTTCTCCAAGCATTCAGGTTAAGCGAATGCGATGGTAAATGGTTGTACCCTGAGAGATACAGCAGTTCATTTGTCCTATCATGATGCTCATATATCTTCACGTTGTATACAAAGCAAAACGATAGTTTACACAGACAAAAACACTTGTTTAAAGTTTTCGTACGTGGAGATTATTTGTTTTCTATTTCTTCATATACCATTCTATTGTTCTTTAAATATTTTTCGTCCTATATCTGTATCAAACTTGTTATTTCATTTCTTTGACATCAAAGGAAGTAAATAAAAAAAAATATATAAACAATTTCAAAATACAAAACAATAGTAGTCACATTTTTTTTATACATTTGCTTCTGGTTTTAAAAAGAAGGATAGTATGGCGTCAGGGAATGGTGGAAATCATCAAACTTTAGCATGACATCCTATCGTGCTGCGGTGAGACATGTCGAATATAACACTTTAAATCACGAGTTTCTGATAAGTCATCTCTCCCACTTGATGAAATATTAGCAAAATCTTATATAATTCGTAAGACATATTCATTGAATTAAAAAATGATATAGTAATTTTTCGTAACCTCTGTTATGTGTAGAAAATGATCCCAGAATTAAAACAAATAAGACACTTGTAGTAAAAAACAATGGAAAAAATTTTTTTCTAAATAATATAATTATTCTTTATTTAATAGAATGATCGTATTCGAAAAATTTTACCAGATGGTGAAACATGGCTTCAAGAATTAGCGTCGATTGTTCAGCTTGTACTTACTCGAAATGATTCAACATGTATGAAAATAGCTGTTATTTGTTTAAATCTAACTATTAATGCTTTTATTAAATGGAGAAAGTAAATTTCATTTCATTGATCAAATTATTTATTTATTTATTTATTTGATTCATAGTGATAAAGCTCAAGCACCATTAAATATTCTACCGATTTATATTAATTTAGCTAATAGTGTTCTTGGACCAGAATATATATCAATTTATGTAAAATATTGTTATTTAGATGCACTTGTTCTCTTAATTCAAACATTTATTGAATTGACACCTGGTAACAACGAAGGAAAAATTTTCTTTAGACTTTTCGTTTCTTTTTTAGATATTGATCAACAACAATATGATTTAACACGCTATTCAACTGTTCTTATACATTTACTTGATTTTGTCGATTATTGTAATGATATTATTGATATTCATCCATCAACAACACCACAATATAAATGTGCTGTTAAAGTTAGTTGAAAAGGGGCAAATGTCGATAAGGCCATTTTTTTGGTTCAGAATATTTTCAAAAAAAAAAGAACTATATATTCGGAATCAGCATTAATTGTAACTAAGATAAAGTAGCTTTAACTATCAAATGAACGATTTTCATGTTTCGCTTGTAGAACATCCCAGGACATCGAAACAGAATTCTTTTGAGTTTCATTGAGTTACATATCATCTGATGCAGAATTTAACGCTCATTCCAAATTTCAGATCGAAATTCATAAGAGCGAATTTCGGTTGAGAAAAATGAACTTTATTGTAGGATGCTAATTGAGGGACACATTCGGCTACCGTTGTCGGGTAAGGTGCCAGTCCTGTTCAACAGTCTGAAAGACATCTGGTCGTATGAAAAAAAGTGATTCGAAATTAAGTTGTGGAAAGCTTACAAGGTGAAAAACCACAAAAAGCAACGCTTTTAGTGTCGTTGACGTAATGAAGTAGGACAATAAAATCTATAGAAACAATTAGTGAAAAATATAGATCAATATAGTTTTGCTACGGTGTATCCAAATATGAAATCTAAGTAAGAGAAAAAGTTATAGATTAAATCTCCAGAGACCTCCTCTAGAAAGTGAAGTTCAGATTCTTACGTGCTTTGAACTTTTCTAGAATCTCACTGTGTTCAGCTTATCTTAAACTCTTTCTCGACAAGTTTTTATATGTATTTCAGAGATCGCTTCTAGATTTCGTTATCCTACAGTAAGTACTACGTCAAGTATGTCAAAAACTTTGTTTTTGCTTCTTTTTCGTCCTAAAAGCTATCTACAACTCGGTTTTGAACCACGGTTTTTGCATGCGACTGACACATTGTCTGGCGACGCTAGCCAAAAGTATCCTTCTATTAGCATCCTACAATAAAAATCGTTTTTTTGAATAAAAACTTACTCTTCGAGTTTCTACTTGAAATTCTGCATCTCATGATATGCGACTTGATAGAATTCAAAAAAAAATTTTTTGGATGGCTCTGGGATCCATCACAAGCGAGAAATGAAAGTCGTTTATTCGATAGGTAAATCTACCTAATATCACTCAGCATTTAATGCTGCCTCCTGATATGTAATTCTTTTTTTTTAAATATTGTTCGCTAAAAATGGCCTCATTGACACCTATCTTCTTTATTTTAATATCTATATATTCTCTATTGATCATAGGCATTAGTTCATACATTTCATTTATTATCTATATTTGTTTCGGAAGAAGAATCATCAAATTTATCTGTAAATTTAAAACAAGAACGCACAGTAGCGAATGTTATTGATTTATTTCATAAAGTGTCACAAGTAAAAATCTGCTTCTATGCAAAAAAAAAACTCCTCTCCTTTTTTATTTTTCTAGGAACGAGATAATTTTCGTGTATGTTATACAATACTAAGTTTTTTATATGAGTTAACAAAAAAGAATGATAGTATTCAATGGTTTCATACAATGAATATTATTCCACGTACACTTCATACATTTCGTTTTATTATTCAACAACAAACAAATAGTTCGAATGAAGATGTAAGTAAACAAAAAGAAAAAAAGTATATAAAAAATAAAATAATTCCAATTGATTATAGCAAATTTCTCAAACGATTTGGTCAAAAGTAATACGTCTTTATTTTCTTTTAAATATTTTCCTTATTCATTCGGAAAGTGCATATGGTGATTATCGACATTTTAATAATGCATCAGATGTATTTGCAGCTTGTAGTGAATATATTGTTGAAGTTAGTTGATAGAATTGTTTTTTTTCTTATTGATTCTGTGTTTTTATTTATTTATTAGAGTTTTCATAATGTAACAAGACAATTTTCATTAGCATCATTGGATAATGCTGATGTATGTTGTCAATTTTTTGCATGTTTAACACAATTTTATAATCAATTAATGAGTAAACATCATAAAGAAGCGTGCATTTGTATTGTAAGAAAATCAAAAAATGAAATTTTTTTTCTTTGTTTTCATTTAATCATTGAGAATTTAGGCAGCAGTAAATTATCTTCTTCATGATTCAATTAATCTTCTTCTTCATTCTGGTCTTGTACACAATATGTTAACAGTAAGATATTAATGAAAATGTATTGTTTTCTTTTTTGGAAATATTTTTTTAATAAATTATTTAGAAAAAAGTTCGTTGTGCTTATCGATCAGAATTAGAAAATCAAGAAAATATTGTACCTGATTATTCAATATCACAATCAATTGTAATAGATCATTCACAATTATCTCAACGTTCTTCATTACGACCAACATCAACTTTTCTTAATCAATCAATATCATCATCTCCTGCTAGTGTTCCTCCTGTAACACCAAGTGAAGGTACACCAAAACCACGATTAGTTAATGTTCGTCAACAAGTTGCTGCTGCTTCTGCTCAACCAGCTAGTTCTCAAGCACCAGAATTTGAACAAGTTCAAGTCGGGTACGAAAAACAAATAAATAAGACAAATTATAATATTCGACTTGTTTTTCTCTTCTTAGATTATTACGACTTTTATGTACTTGTTGTTGGGCACTTCATCCATGTACTATTCCATTAAATGAACTTAATGAATCACTACTTTATAAACAAACAATTGATTATGATTCATTTAAATATTTAGTTGAACCATTATTTAATACACCAACATTAGAACGACGTACAGCACCATCGTTTGGTACTTGGCTTACTGGTGCTCAATATATTGTTACTCAAATGGAACGAGTATGTATCTGTCGTAGACCCATCTAGAATTTGTCTAGGTTAAACTAGGATAAATTTGTTCAATGAAACATGTGATTTTCAGTATAAAGATGATCTATGTTATAAGTGTACAAACATTGGAAAAGATAAGTAACGAGAGTTATACATTGTGAATCAGATGTAGGTTGATACTCGAGTATAAAGCGATAAACTTGCTTGTGTTCGTGAGATTATCGATGAATGATAGACAAAGAATATTTTGGTGAGCTCGTCTACTGTACTTGATGAACTCTTTCATGTATAATTGGCTGTGTTCGACATGCTCTAAACGACGTCAATTGTTTAGGTAAAGGAGGATGTAAAAATAACCAGTGTATTTGTATAAAAATCAAATTTTCTGCTTGACAAATTGTCATAAATTATTTTTCACTATGTTATGCCATCGGCTTAATGAGAGTTAGTTGTGGTTTGGGTTACTAATTATTCTATCCTAGTTTGGTCTAGGCCATTCTAGAATCCATGATTGACCTACAACATATCTACGAACAATTATAGTATTTTAATTATTATTCGAATTTTTTTATTCTTTAGTTTAGTCTTATAAAAAGTAATTCACCAAGACCAGCTCGTATAAAAGAAAGTGATCTTGAACGTTTGGTACAACAGAGGTTAGTACAGTTTTTTTTAATAATTTAAAACAGATACTAAATAATATTACTACTTATTTTATTTCTAGACCTTTTCTTGTGCTTGCACTTGAACATTTATTAAGTCTTATTCTTTCTCAAGTACCACTCTTTATGCGATCAACATATCTTAGTGAAACACAAAAGAATATGATGAAACAAACATTATCACTTGAATTGGTATGTTAAATGTTATGAAATTAATTAATGAGATTAATATATTTATTATAGGATTATATCTTTTCGAATCTTAATTTAACTGAACGAACATCAAGTGCAAGTGGTGGTGGTAGTGATCCAAATTCTCAACGAACATCAGTTAATATACCAACACCGGGCACTGCTGGTGGTCCGACAAGTCATAAGTCACTTGTCATGAGTGTATCAAATATGTCTCATCCGTCTGGGTCAGTTTTACGTGAAGCTTATACACCGTTTTCTGTTGGTACAAATGTGACATGTTCTGGTGCATCTGAATATAATAATTCAACTCATTTGAAAGATGTTTGTACATCAATTTGGAAACTTTACAAACGTATTGTTCAAGCTGATCCACTTGTCTTTGTTGGTTAATAATTTAGAGAAAATAGACTTTTCTTTGTGTGTATATGTGTATTCGTATAAAAAGTTGATAATAAATCATGATCATCAACGGTCAGATGACAAAAAATTAACTATATTGAATTTTTTCAGATGTCAGGTCCAATTTCAGCTTTTGCTCGATATTCGGAAGAAGTATCATCGTCTCCTCAAAATGATTCAGTTTTACCTGCATCACGTAAACGTAAACGGATTTCAATGGCAAATACAAATGGTCACTCAATGGAAAACCAAAAAAATAAAAATCGATCAAAATCATTGCAACCTGTACTAACAGTTCCTGAAACAAATGGTCAATCAAAGGTAATTGAACAACCAAGTACAACGAAAAAGTCAACAAATTCTGAAATTAAATTTTTATCACCGGCTTATCCAACACCATGTCCTCAACGTCATGTCATTGTTTCTGGATCTCGTCGTTCTCAAATTGATAAATCAACTTTAGAGAAAAACGGTGAAACAGATGAAGATGAAGATGAAGATGACGATGAAGAAGATGAAGTAAGAATTTAGTTTCTTTTATGAAATCTATAAACATCATTCTTGAAACCTGTAGGATTTCTTTCGATTGAACTGACCGGCGGTTAAATTTTTTTATTTGACCGGCAAAAAATCGGTGTTCTTACTATATCGATTAAGCAATTAGTTCTTTCGAGAAACAGTCTATTATTTCAATTCTACGAAGACATAGAATGTAAAAATCATATAAACCTTAGAGTTCATAGTAGTAGCAACTCCTATTTTAGTCTGTCACGTTTCATTTGTGGTAACATTAAAAACGAACGAAGATTTCTTTCACAACGTTTTATCTAGGAATTAGTATTGAACAACATCTATATTATGTTTTGACTGACTTGTTTAAATAATGATATGATTTTTTTACTATAAATAAGTTTGATCTATTCTTATTTGAAATAATTATTTAATATAGCTGAAAAGTGTGCCAATTCGTAAAAGGATACTATTGATGATAGAAAGATATAGTGAGCTAAAATGTATGGTTTTCATTTTAGACTTTCTATTTTAAGGCTTCTAGATATCTAAATAGTTTCACAATCGGATGATGCTGATATATGGCAAGATCTTGACAATAGAACAAGATTTTTCTGATAGCTTGTAATAAAAGTATGAACTGAAAACTATTAGCTATTAGGATTTTATAAGAGTCTGTTAAAAGTAATCCAGAAAAGTACTGTCGAAATTTCAAGGTAAGAAACCTTCAGTTTAGATCGAAACTTAACTTCTAATGGGCTTTAGGAGTCCCAGAAAAGTCAATAAAAAAACTGACCAATGTCACGAGTTCAATCGAACCAGTAATGAGCAGAGTAGATGGCGTGGTTCCAAGTATGATGAAGTTCGTCGTATTTTCTTTTTACTGTAGAATGAAGACGAATCACCTTTATCAGCCTGGCTTCATGATCATGTTCCAATTGAAAATAGTACTCTTCTTGGTGAACATTTATTTGGTTTATTGATTGATCCTATTCCAGTTAAACAATTTATAAAACAAACATGGCAACGTGAAGCATTACTTGTTCAACGTAAACAACCAACATATTACGATGGACTTTTTTCGACAAGCGATATTGACGATTTACTGCGAGAAAATACACTTGAATATGGAGACAATATTGATCTGACTTTTTATAATCCGACAACATCTAAAAAAGAACGACATAATCCAGAAGGTTTTTTTTTGATAGATATTTAGTTGATTGTAAAATAGAACTAAAATTTGATATTAATTTTTGCAAAGGTCGTGCCCGTCCAGCTGTTGTCTGGGATGCATATAATGAAGGATGTTCTGTTCGTATTCTTAATCCTCATACATATTCAACAAATGTTTGGAAATTATTATCATGTCTTCAGGAATATTTTGGCTCACTTGTGGGTGCAAATACATATTTGACACCACCTGGTTCTCAAGGATTTGCACCTCATTATGGTATGAATGAATATGTCTACAAAATCATATTATTGATATATACATATATATAATTTTATTTTTAGATGATATCGATGCATTTATTCTTCAACTCGAAGGAAAAAAACATTGGCGTGTTTATAAACCACTGAATGATGATGAAGTTTTACCAATAAAACCAAGTGTTGATTTAGATAAAAATGCTATGGAGAACGTCAAACCATGTATCGATGTTGTACTTGAAGCAGGTGATCTTATTTATATGCCACGTGGTTATATTCATCATGGTCGTACTCTTGATGATGCTCATTCATTACATCTTACTGTTAGCTGTTATCAACAACATACATGGGGAGATCTTTTCAAAATACTTTTGCCTAAAGCAGTAGATTATGGTAGATTTTTAAAATATTTTCTAATATAATTTTTCATATTATTTCTATTATTAGCTATGAAAACGAATGTTAAATTTCGTCAAGGTTTACCATTAGGTTATCTCAATAATTTTGGTCTTATTCATAGTACAAAAAAATTATCTATGAAAAAACGTGCAAAATTTCATGCTAATTGTCATCGATTACTTGATGAATTACTTCGTGAAAGTGTTCCTATTCAAATGGATAATAGTGTGGATATAATGGCTCAAAAATTTATGCATGATGCATTACCACCAATGTTAACAGCAGAAGAACAATTAACAACTATTCAAGAACAAGGTGAACGATGGAATAATGATTTAAATCGTGTTAGTAATGTTGTAGAACTTGAGCCTGATACTCGTATTCGTCTTTTACGTCGTCATTGCTTACGTGTTGTTGAACACGATAATAATGAGGAAGATGATGATGACAATATTGTCGCATATTATACAACAGACAATGCTCGAAGTTATCATGATCGACCATTATCAACACTTGGTGTAGATAAAGAAACATTGCCTGCACTTGAAATGCTCTTCACGATTTATCCAGAATATATTAGTATTGATTCTTTACCATTGGCAACAATCGAAGATAAAATCACTTTTGTATCAACTTTGTATGAAAAAGGACTTGTTCGAACGGAATACGAACTTGAACATTCTGATGGAGAAGATGAGGAAGGAGATGAATCGGATAGTGATGAAGAAGATGGGCGTATGTTAATATCTTATTTCTAAAACAACTAGTTATTATTTTCTTTTAGTTGTTTTAAAACGTCAAAAAGTGCACAACGAATCAACAGACGATGATGATGATGAAGATGATGAAGACGATGATGAAGATGATGAAGATGATGGTTAAATAACATAGTGATGTGTCTTTCTAACTTTCTTTCTTTCAACTTTTTGTCATTGTTACTGTTATAAAAATAAAAAAACAACACAATATCTTATAGAAGAACATGCTTAACACTTTGAAAAAAAAATCAAAATTTTAAAGAAAATTTCATCCCTATATTAGTATGGATCTATTATAACAACAGATCAAGAAGTAGAAAAAACTGAACATAGAAATCATCTTAATTGTATCATATGCATCAGTATATTCTATCTGTGATACTTTATTATTATTGACGGTGAAGACGGGTGATAATATCATTGATAAATAATAGATCTTATTGATAGAAGAACAAGTCATACGAAATGTTGGCTTTTGAATGATTTTGATTAATATAAGCTACATCTATTCGATTGTCAGCTCTTAGAATGCTTGTTTCTTTCTCTATTTACAGTCGTAACAATGGATGAATTCATTTTAATTTTGATAGATACAATTATGCCACAGGATAATATTTAACTCATAAAAAAGATTTTCAAAATCGGCCATATAATGTGTAAATAATTCCTTCTTGTTCTAAACTGAGCAAAGTCAATATTGATACCTGAGTACCCATCTAAAAGAATTGAATATTTTTTTTTACCTTCGAGTATTTTCATCGGATGTGGATGTGGGTGGGTGAAGATATATGCTAAAGACCCACACCCTATTTAAGTTATTTATCTAAAGGATCTATTTATATATGCATAATCTTAGCAAAGGTATGTTCAAGTAATATATAAGTCGCAAGTTGTAGGTAAGTCTGTCGCATATTCATAAGATACAACCTTAGGTTCAAAACACATTTAAATAAAGCTGTTAGGGCAATTTTTTCAGAATTAAATTGTGAAACACCTTGTAGCTGTTACTACTCACCACAGGAGATTACTTCATTCTATCTATTTTAGGATACATTTCTTCACTATCCTTTTACTTAATCCTTCAGAAACACTATAAGAAAGTAGCTCATATTTTAGAATGAGATTTTATTGATATGTGCTCTTTAATTATATATATCAACAGCGTCTGGCATGGTCGATAAGGAAGAGGAAGGGGGCAGTTTCTACTTCTATACTTCAGCACTGCTTTTAGATCATGCTTCATAAACAGTCATCCCAATATGTGGTTGATCATCGATTCAACTCGAAAAGAAGTGAACACCATCCGTAATTTGATTCTTCAAGTAAGTAGTGAAATGGTACCTGGTACAAAACGTTCCTAATTCAGAATGGATGAACAACGAACTAAAGAATCATATGATCAATTCAATGATAACCAAATTACGGCGCAAGATTTATTACGCTGAAATTCTGGGTTCTTTTCTTGCCAATGAAAAATACTATAAAATTCAATCGGTTATAATAAATTAGACTACGTTATTAACATTATCACCAACTGTTGTTCATATTTAATTGAAACAACATTTTCATAATGGAGTCATTTTTTTGAAGGATTATCTCTCAGATATATATATATATATTCTGAAGCACATGTTTTCAAGAATAAAAAGTCAGAGATATTTTGTAAAGAACATTCTTGACTACTATGATTGCATCAATGGAAGTATCATTATTCTGTATAGCTTTTCAAATGCATTAGATTAATTATCAGTTCAACACAGAGGAATTCTAGTTACTATGGGTATTTGGTGTTGTTTTCGTTGAGACAAAATAATAAATGGCATGGAGCATGTTATATGCAAGTCGTAGTGGATATTTGATCGAAATTCTTTCCAAAACTGTTGTCTTATGATTGTTTCAAACTAGTTGAAAGTAGACAAAAGCATTAAGATTTATATTTCACGAGCGAAACAGTTTCTATTAGAACAGAGCATTACATTCATGCCGATTTTATCGTGAGTGGAAAGTATTTTTTGTTCACTCTTATTATTCATCCAGTCATTATAATGAACAACGGCTACCATCGATATGAGATTGTCCGTTGAAGACTGTTGTGTAGTGACTAAATTCGCTGGATAGTTATCGACAGTGATTGTACACCGATTATATGAACAGGAATGTCCATATGTATGTCATTGATAGGTTCCTTCTCGTTTTCGGTTGCGCCACTGTGAGCTCTTTCAACTCGTTCATCTAACGAAAGTCTCTGAAATGCTATTGGTCGAAAAAGTAAGACGAACAAGCTCGTATGAACCCAGGGAATTTTTGAGTGACGTACTGAAAAATGACTCATCACTTGAAGCAGGATTTCGGTACGAGTTTTGACCACAATTTCCAACAATTTTTGATGAAGTGTTGGCCATTTTTCGTCGTAAATGACTGAAATTGGTTCGGAGAACATGGTAACGGAATTTGGTTTTAAGAAAATCGTCAGATCTAAACGGAACCGGCCAAAAACAAGTCGAGCGTAGAGGGACCGTTGCTGAAAATTAAAGATAACTCTCGATTTCAAAAGCCAGAACACGCAGCCTGAAAAGAAATATACTTATCGTACATCTTGTCCATGGACATTTATTTGATAGAGATGAACTTCAAACTGCTAATATACCTAAGAGTCGAATAAATGAATATTGCTACGAATCATTGTACTAGATTTCATTGTCTTCGTCGGATTCTACATATGCTGATGTGAAACTAAGTAATTGCAGTTCATCTAACGTATATATAGACAAATATATCAATTGATATCGATTTCATGACTAGAAAGTGGCCATCAGTCTTTTAGATCACTTTTTCGTATTAAAAACTTAAGTTGCATCCTATTTCTGAATGCAAACGAGTGCATTCAATTGACTTATCTTCTGTACAACCAGCAACATCGCTACAAAATCGAAGCATATCTTCTGAAAAATGGAATCTATGAAAGAGCCAATGCAACATTCAGTTGAAACTTGAGAACATTTATTTAGTTCAAGGTAAGCAGTAATGGGAAAAAGGCCATGTTTTTGTTTATTGTCTGTACTTGTTGGTTTGTAACGTGCTCTCCTCTGTCTCGTTTGGAAAATAGCACTGCTTGCACAATGGACCGATTGCACTTATGTTTTCCGAATTCTACTACCGCTAAACCATTTGGACATGAAGTCAGTTAGTTCCATTCTTGATGTTAAACATTGTCGTCAAAAGCAGCATACTCTTTCATAATAAGAATACAATTCTGTTGAGTTTTTTTTCCTTTACCCATGCACATCAGTAGAAAAAAGCTTGTTAGCGCAGCTCCTGCGGAGCTGAAATGTGGAACTCACGTATACCTTTAGCTTTGTTACCTGACGCATCATCTGTATACTGAAAGACTTCTCGTCAACTACAGTTGTTTTCCTTGAGAATCGATGAAAAGAGCGGGAATTTATTATTTATTTGTATATTAAAAAAATATATTAAAAAAGAAAATATTGTTTTTTCATTTAAGCGCGCTCGATTTCATTTATAATTATTGCTATATACTCGATAATAATCTTTTTTTTTTGTTTTCTAATTTGAAGTTATTTTTCTCCACCATCGANNATACCCTGAAAGTTTCAGACAAAACAAATGCATCCTTCTTAAGATATTGAATTTTCAAAAACCGACTATTTCTCGAAAAGAATTAGCAGACCCGGAGTTTATTGTGGAGTCAATATCTTAAGAAGGATGCATTCGTTTTGTCTGAAACTTTCAGGGTATTCTAGTGGCCATCAGGCCTCTTCGTGGACAAAATTTCAGATCGAAATTCGTTGATTTGGTTTTGCAGGTGAACCAGTGCCCTAGGGCAAAAATCGAGTAAAACGGTTATAACTCAGCCCCACAGGTACATGGGCCCAGATCCTCTTGGGGTTATTCTAGTGTCGGGGTCTCCTACTTATCCCCAAAGTATGAGCTCAAAAGCGGTGAATCACTTGGGGTAGTTCCCTCGTCAGTTACATTTGATGGGTTACCATATGTTAGTGATAAAAATATTGCAAAAAAATATGGTGAATCATGACATAAGGAAAGTTAGCTGTGGATTGGAGTTTTTTCTGCTGATATGCTCTCCTAGACTTCGGTTGAGTTTCTAGTTCCTTGGGATAGATGCAGAATTCAATTTCCCATGGAGCGCTAACATTTTCGAGGGTGAGCATCGAGCAGAAACTAGAAGTTTCAGTCGAGGGTGTGGTAATGTGAATTTGATTGTAGGTGTAGAGAGTAACACAACACCTACACCTTTACTGGTTTCTCTATCCTTTCTCTTTATTCAATAAATTTGTTATTGATGCTATAGGTTATGATAATGAAAATACACTCTTTTAATTCGACATTTTTCTTTCGAAGTTGTTCGCTCGAAATTTTTCTTTTCGTTCTTGTTTCATCATACCAATCATCTGTGCCTTATTGCGACGACAACTGCTTTGGACAGATCTTTTCGTAAATCATTTCATGGGTTAACCCAAGGATGACCATTGGGTTAATCGACAAAATTTATCAGAAAATTGTAATGGGTGGGTCAGGGTTGAAATTGCTCAAATGGCCTGTCCAGTCCACTGGTTTGGGTTAGGGTTAACCCCATGGGTGGCCCAACCAAATGGGTTTCAGCCCTAACCCAACCTATCCGACAACTTTTATGAGAACTGAATCTTTAAATATAGAAATTTTCATTAGATCTTACAAGGATGTCTCATTTTCAATTAAAAAACGATACAATGAACCTCAAGATAACGTTTGCTCAAGTCTACTATGTGATGTGATAATAAATGTAAACCATTTTTTCTTTTACAAATTAGTGGCAAGAAAAACATTAACCAATCGAAATGATATTCGATAAAGTAATGGTAACAGAAAACGTATCTACACCAAGAGCAAGAGATATGAGAGGACGAAGAAATGAACGTGAAGCAACCATCCTTGATAGTAAAAAAAGTCCGGGGTCTCCCGTTAAATAATCACAAGCATACCAAGCATATATAATTAATCTATGCACAATTTAAGCGCTCATTTGAGAATAACAAAGAGAGATTAGGTTGATCATGTTGTTTCTTTCGTTCATTGAAATTGGCAATTGATCAAGATTAATACGATCATAGACGCGACGAAATAGAGTTTTCATTTGTCGATTGAAAAATGTATCTAATAGTTGACTTTTATCCGTAGTATCACTCGAAGTTCCATTCTTCTCAACAGCACTAATAAAACTCACGGATAAGGTATGTGTGTAGGGACTGACTACATTTCAACTGCTACATTCACATTTGCACCCTCCTCAATCCAGCTACACCCACATCCTTGATTTTTGTGGTTGAATTTGCTCTCTACGATTTGCTATCTTGCTCTCTGTCTCATTGTGAAGATAAGGTGAAGCCATCATTTATGAATGTACATACACCAACAATAACAAAACGATCATGCTGATTATACCGACGATATGGCTAAAGATAGAAAACACTTGGCTATTTGTTTTGAGAACTTTTGTCTCCCTTAATCTCGAGTGTTTGAAAGCTGATAATTCTAATCTTTACGAAGATAGTAAAATTCGTTGTGCAATTGAAAAACTACCTAGAAAAAAAGAAATTTAATCAAAACTTACAATGTTCAAATCCGACTCAGCCTATGGCATCTACTCTCAGTCTTTCCAGCTTCACTTTTTTAAACAGTTCCCAAGATGCTGCTAAACACATGATGGGATGTATTAGAGAGTCATTGAAAGTTTTATGCTAATACTACTCAAATATTTGAGATGTGGTTATACGGTATAGGATGAAGCTTTTTTCTTTCTGACTTCGATGATAGAGATGTAATCACTCACTATAAATCGAAAACACAGACAAACCGTCGATGTTGCTGAAACCGATCTGAAAACATTACAGTTTATAGATAATTTCTTCAAAATTGAAAAAGTTATTTCGTCGATCGGAGCTTTATTTCTAAGCAAAATGTGTGGTAAATAGATTTGTTTTTCGAGGTTTGCAAGCATGCTCTTTAGAACTATAGGTTCAGTTTTTGTTTATTTGAACTTTTTCACTTTTTTTCAAATTTTAGCTGCTCATTAATATAATGGCTATACGATTCATCCATACAACCACAGATTCAAATCTGATATACGGACAAGCGTTTCTAATACATAAGCAGCTGATTTCATCATCGTCTCATAGCCAAATGGGTTCGTGTTCTCTATTGTATCGCACGCTTGATGATAACATGGATCAAATTTTACATCAGATACCACCGTATCCGTGGCCTAACATTATATCATACCGATTCCGTTGTTCAAGTGTTTTAATACTGCCTGCTCCGGAGAATATACCACCACATGGAACATCCGCAAACAGAAACGGAACATAATCACTAAGAATAGGTGAACTATTATCCCACGGTAGACCTTCTTTATCAAACCAGTGGCGAAATAATTGTGAAATTCTGTCCGAGGCATTTTTTACTTTTGATGATATTTTGTCTGGAAGTGAAGTAGGCTCATAGGTGCCACAATAAAAGTTGAATGACGCAAGCATATCAAAATTCAATACTAGCACATAGTCTTTCAAACGGTTACCTTCAACGATTGTAATGTTGGCTTCATTGACATGATGATATGATCCGAGCATACTATTTTCTTCTGCACCCCACCAGCCGCATCGAATTCGATATAAATGTTTCTCATAGGATGATGCCTGAAATAGGTGAGCTAAATTCAGTGCTAGGACAAGAGTTGCCCTTGCACCACTACCTGTACAAAGAAAAAGAATCTATTCAAAATTCAATATGTAAACATTAAATAAAGTACCGTTATCATTAATCCCTGACCTATTTTCGACACTATCACTGTGGCTTCCGATGACTATTGTCTGATTTCTATTCCCAGTTGGTGTATCAGCACATAGATTTTCCGATGACGTTGGTACTATAATTATATTTTCAAGAGAAATAAACATTCGAATGCTTGGATTGGCTATTTGAATAATTTTGTGTTGTTTTCAACAGTTGTGTACCTAATTCGTATGTGAGAATCATAGCTGGATAAGTTATATTCTTAGAAACAACAACAAATGGCAGGTTCGTAATATTACTATCACTATTATATATCAGAAGGCCACTAATATTGTATTTTTGTCCCATAATACTCTTTTCTACCACAGAACAGTTGTTTTTATCATGCATGACAAGTACAACACTGTCTATGGCTGGATATGGTGTGGCATGTTGCCAATCATCATCGTCACAACCAAGATTAGGTAGTACAGTAAGACGAATAGGTTTGAGAAAATTGACCGCTGGTGAAAAAAATATCTCACGAAAGTCCATATCATATATATAATTTTTATCAACATCATCAATTGTGGAAGTTAGGATGGGATTACGTTCTACCCGTACAGGTACAAAAAAACTCTTGCCTGAATATCTCAAAATTAGTCTTCGATATTAATTGTGTCTTTATATAATCAAGAGTGGCTTTAAAACCCGTAGTTCCCAGAGCACGTGTTCTGTTGTTGTTATCAGCAATTGTTTTCAATTCTTTCAAATAAAACATTAGCTGATTGATATTGATGGTATCCAATAGATTCATTGTTACTATGGACGTTGCTATTGATGTTTTGTCTGTGTTAGTAAAGCCACCGACACATTAGAAGACCCCCCTATATTAGAAGACCTCCCCATAATAGAAGACCCCCCTTGGACAAATGAAGCAAAAGACATATTAGGAGAAACCCCTGATAAAATCGATTTTTTTTACGAATAATTACTGAAGTTTATTAACTTTTTTAGTATATAAGTCCATAATTGTATCGTAGGTCAGTATGAACAATATTTTGCTTCCTTTATGAAAATGATGCGCCAGGTCGAAGTGAAAAACGTCTTGCGGAACAATCAATCGGAAACAACTATTTAGTAAAGAATGCATTTCTGTATAGAACTCATATCACGGAATCTTTTTAGTGCTCTTTTGCAGCATATTCTGAAAGAATTCTTATGGTTCTCTATACAAAAACAATTCTCATGCTGTTGAGTTATAATGGACTCAGTGCAGAACCGTGGGTGTAACGCATGAAGAAATCTTTGTAAAATAGTAGCATAATAGGTGAAACTTCGTTGCGTAATAATTAAAAAACCGAATTATCTGTGATTTCTAGAAATTCTGATACATATTCATCAAAAGCCTTTCTTCCATAATTGAAAAAAACGTGAATTCATGTATATACGCTCGAGACAGAAACGAATAAGAAAATCTTGATTCGGCAATATCTTCGTTCGGATACAGTTCGTGTCAGACGAATTCAATCGAATAAGATTATTTGACAATTCTATTTGGTTTTTGTCTCTAATACGTATTGGTTTTTTGTAAGTACTTCTCATGAGACTCAGAACGCATTTCTATTCTCAATAAAACCTAAAGCCATTTAAAAAAAAGACCCAGAAGAAAACACAATGTGTATCCAACTATTCTTTTTTTATTAATTGCTTATTCTTAATACAAACATATTCACTGAAGTTGGCTTGAGACTAATAAATATGCTATTAGTAGATTTTCATGTGAACAGATTCCATCAATACTAGTCAAAAATGAACAAGAACAATTATTTTAATTCAGTTTGACAAAACAAGTTAATTCTTTTTCTGAGTTATTTAGTTATGGAAAAGTTAAAATTTGGTCAATGGCAGATCTTATTTTTTAGAAAAAGCCTAGCTAGTGGACATTTTATCAAGGTGTTCGGATACGTTGCCTTGAATACTTTAAGAATATTTATTACCAATGGTAGACTCACTTTTTTCACAGGATAGCATTTGTTGCTTTCTCATTATACACGTGTCGAATAAGTAAAACTATCTTTTTCTAACGATTATATTGAATAAAAATGAGTTAAAACAAAGATTTGTTGGAAAGACTGCTGAAAAATATAACTTTTTAGGGGACATAATAGAAGACCCCCCTTGTAACTTATGAGCGATAAGACAGAATAGAAGACCCCGGGTCTTCTAATGTGTCGGGGGCTTTAGTAGGCACCCAGGAACTTACTATTGTCGATGTAACATCATTCACTTGGCAGAAATTTTTCTGGCTCTTCACAATACCTAATATGGTTGCTACTAGGGTAACTATTGTTATCAAAACCAAAACAATAATAACAAGTAATATTGTATGTAAGCGTGTTGTACGCTTGGGATGGTTCATTGCCAACATCTTTACAATGTCAATATCCTAGAAAGAAGAAAAAATGAGAAGTGGCTGAGTATCGAAGCTAGAATAATGTTGTGATGTTTTAGAATAAATATAGGGATTACTCATACACTTACTTATGTCTGTTACCATCATCTCGGCTCTTCTTATCGTCATTCTCAAATTTCTCGTGTTTTTTTCTCTTCATACTTAAAAGACAGGTTTTAACAGCAACTAATATGTGTGCATAAATAAGATTAGTGGGATTTTGCAAATCTTTATTCTACACTCTACAATCTTATTTTATTACCAATATTTCTTTCATTGATAAAAGTAATCTAAAAATGAAGAGATTGAAGGCTTGAGTACTCGATATTGGATTAGGATGTGATGGTATAAGAAGTGATCCTCATCACGCGCATACATATGCATCATTGTTACTAGAGAGTCAACTTTTAACTCTAACAATACATTCAAGTGATCAAATATTTTTTTATTTTGTTGAATGTGTCTTATTATGCATTTTAGTTATTAAATCGTGCCAAATTGAAGACACAGATGAACAAGTTGAAGCCATGTTCAACACATTTGCTATTGTATTATTATTCCTGTGCACAGGTCTATTGATAAGCAAAGGGATAGAGAATTCGATTACTTGATAAAACATCTCTTGAAAATCAAGATACAGATTTTCACTTGTTCAATTATGGACGATGTCGTCGTCTTTTTGTTTTTCTCTCTATCAAACAGAAGTACTAATTGTCACTTTTTCTAAGCTTAATGTTGGATGAACTTATATTTGCAACCTTTTGACGACCGCCATATTAATTCAATTAGTTTGATCCATACTGATCAGCGAAGGACATTTGTTTTTCATACTAGATGAGAATTATTCCTATTTTTTTTTCATTCTTAGAACTAAATTTGACTTTGAGTTTTTCTTTATCAAAGTATCAATCAACTTACGACTAAGTTTTAAAAAAAAGAAAGTTTTTTTTCCAAAAGTCATTAAATAGGTAATGATTGTTGAGGGGCACTAATTTAAAAAGAAATTATTTTTGTTTTCATCCAGTCATTCATATATTCTATCTCAAGCTCAAGACGCTACAGGACGATTCTTCATTCTATAGATTGGTCCAGATACCATTAATTTCTTCAAGCAGTCTAGATGTCGTACAATTTACTTCGTTCATTTCGAAACCGAGTATAGTAAGTTCAATAATGATCGCAAGTAAATCAACTAAAGAATAGATGGATTAGTGAAATGTATCGATGAGTCGATTGCTATCTTTGATTTTTCAAACTTTTAATTTATTGAAGTAAAACCTTAGCTCTGGTTCGAATTGTATGCTCCTGAGTATTTCTTTTTTTTCATCAATTTTCAGGATCTTAAAGTCAATAATACATGTTGCTTCAGTGCAATCAAAATGGCCAAAAAATAAACTTCGTGCAAAAAAAACGAAATCGAAAAGAGGTATTTATTAAAATGTAGTCGTCATCAAAAAAGTGCGTGCTGGTAAAGAAAATAAACGAATAAAGTCATCATGTTTAGAATATCAATCGATTAACTTCATAATAAGTGAAATAACTGGAGTGATAATCATCTGATTTGACCTGATAATAGTCATAAAATAGATTCTTATTGAGATTTTCCACTGGCACTCACCCTTTGCAATTTAAAAGAACCGAATATACATAGTTCCTAAAAAAATGTATCAAGCTTTCTTATCGATCCGCCACTCCTTATGATTCAAGAATGGCAGAACTTCTGTCGACCTATCGAAAAAATTAATCTTAAGAGTATACTAGGCAGAGTTGATGACATATTAACAAAATGCATTGTATATAGGATGTTATAAAGATTCTTCAGTTACAGTATGACTAGAATAAAAATGGCGAACATTGTTAAAATATTTTGTGTGCTCGAACTATTGTTTAATACTGTATAAGTAAGCATGCAATTTATTAATAAATAAAAATTTAAGAAGTGCGTATGAACATATATAACACCCCCCGAACAGATATGAGTGATGAAACGGCGTTAGTTTTCGTGTACATACTAGTTCATAGCATCTAATGCAAATTTTTGTTTTTTTTTATGCAGCATATTTTCTCTCATTAGCTAACGATAATAATACAAATACAAAAGTTGGTAATATCAATGCAGTTTCTCGTTCAATCGAAAATCATGCATGTTACTATACAATATTATAAAAAGTATGTAGAATAATTTAACGTTGTGAAAAAATATAAGTAAAACTTAGAGGCTTGAAACTTTTCCGAAAAATTTTCTGTTTATTTGTTTTGATAAATTCTTAAACATATGATCGAAAATGGTCTGCAATTACAAAAGTTTACTCGTCAGTCTATAATCAAGTACGTATATTGATTATCGATAAGTAAAATTATCTATGAAAAAAAATATATATTTCAAGTTGTTAAGAAACCTGAGTGTGAGATTCTTCGTCCTATTAACTGAAAAAATTCTTCTTCTTGAATCCTTCTAGGAGTTAGCGATTATTTTTGTTTAATCATACTAAAACATTTCAAAGTTCAAGATAAATAAATGCCTGTCTAGATGTTATTTTTTCTATGATTAACTAACATGGCTGATATAAAATGAAAAATGTGCGAAATATATATTATTTCAGCAATGTTATTTCATATGATCCTTTCCACAATTGATCTTTGTGTAGTTTTACAGCATCATTGACATGACCAACTTCAACACAAACAAATTTTGGAAAATTATGTTCACCAATATCAACAGCTGCTTTGGCTTTTTCTTGCCACGGATTCCATACGACAACGTCGGACATTGTACTTGAACCAATTACTTGAATATAATCATTAATAAGTATAGGATTGCCATTTTTGCCACCATCTTTATAGACACGATCAGTTTCACTCGTAAATTCGATAACTTTATTGGTTTCTGTTTTTGTTTTACTTCCATCGACTTTATCCATATAGGTAACATTATTTAAACCAGATCTAAACACGAAAAAAACGATAACAGTAAACATTGCTCAAGCCATAAATAACTTTTGATATAGAATATTTTTGCTGCTTGTTATAAACTTAAAACTAATATATATATACATACATTTTCGTTGTTTTTATATCGTCAACAGTAAAATATGTATGAAATAATGCAGTAAATTCGAATGTTTGATTATCTTGATTGTTAACAGTTAATTCTTGATAAAGTGATTTTTCACCTAAACGAATAGTAAGTGTTACATTGAATTTATGTGGCCATAATTTCAATGTATCTTCATCGTGTGAAAGATGTAAGTCAATGCTGATTTCACCATTTGTATTTGTTTTTCCTAATTGCCATGTTTTGACACGAGCAAAACCGTGCTGTGGTAATGGACCAGGCCCAAATTGAGGCCATATTATAGGTATACCACCACGAATGGCTTTTCCTGATTCAAATATAGCTTTATCACTATAATGTATAATTATCAATGAATAAATTACATAAAGAAGAGAATAACAAACCTCAGAAACAAGATTTGTTTATTATGTACAGTCCATGAAAGAACATGAGCACCATATAATAATACTTCGACAGATGCAGAACCACTTGAATTTGTTAAACGAAGAGCTGGAAAGCCAGTTTTATATTCGAACTCAATAATCGACATTGCGAACTAAAAGGATAAGAATTGTATTATTACAATCTTTTCTTTTGATAGACAAAATAACAAGTTGTATTTATTGGATTTTAGCTACAAATGATTGCAAGGAAGGAAGTAAGCTCCATCTTTTTACTCGTATAAGTCAAACGAAATAACGAATCAAGCTAAAGAGAAAGACAAAAAGAGAAAAATGTTTTTGAGTTGGCAAGAATTTTTTTGATAACAATAACATTTCATATGGCGTCTATTTAGTCAAATTGTATAAAACAATATTAAATTTATTAAATATCAGACCATCTGAAAAGAATACATTTTGGATAGAATTATTTCGACCAATGGTCTGATTGCATTTATTTGTACTATATTGTTTGAAGAATTGACTATGGATTGATCTTTTTTTTTTATTTTCAAGAAAATTCACGACTTCAAATAATTTTTGATACATTCGATGACAATTCAGAAGAGTGTGGATTTGGGCCTTCTGCTTACCCACACCCACATCCTATTTTCAAAGTTTTTAAACATAATAACTGTTTGAATGATTTTCGGTTAGAAATTCTTTTTTAGACAAAAGATGTTTGTGCATATTCGATCGGTAATGAAGTATTTCAATGAATTAGTATTGTACAGCTATTGAATCTATTAGCATTTAATTGTAAAAAGTATTGAACAAGTATCTCATTTTGAAAAAAAAAGCCTCCGATATTGACTTTACTCGTTGGAGTAGAACATAAAATGCATCATACAGGCAATAATAGATTGCAGACGACAGCTGCTACAACTTACTTAATATTAAGAAATTTTATCAACTCGAGTTCTTCAATAAAAAACATAGACTAAAATTCCACTTATAAAGAAATGGAAGATGAGGTGGCAACCTTGGATACAAAGTTTCTCTCAGTTATTCAATTTAAAAAAGTGAAAAGATGACCATGTGTAATAAACAAAGGAATTCTTTTCGAATAACTAAGCAATAAAGTGGCCGTGTTTCATCATTTACTGACATCTGTTGATCACACGTCTAGTCATTCATTCTTATTCCAATCGAGTATTTAAGTATCATTTATTATTACTCACCATTTCAGTGGTCGTCATGTCAACATTTTAGATCTAAATTGACTCTGATAAATATTCTTATTATTATATGTATTAAATGACCACTAATCATCAAACAGTAGGTCGCAGTCTTTTACCGAATAATGAACGTGAACGTGATACTCTTCTCAATATTCGTCAACTAGAGAAACGGTAAATTTAAGATATATTTTGCTATATGAACGGAAAAAATTCTTTTTTTGTTCTCGATTAGATTACGACAAGTAATACGCGAAGTTGATACACCTTTTGCTTCCCGGCATAATGAATATAGTGATGTGTATAGTGAATTTGCTGGCGAAAAAAATTCATATGAACAAGCATTTAATGCTGAAAGTAATATTGAAAATAAATAAAAACAAAAGAAAACTTAGAACAAAAATAAAATTTATTTCGTATTTAGAACGTCGAATTCAACAACATTTGCAACGTATCAATCAAAGTGTTCGTTCATTTTCAAAAGATGTTCGTCATTTGAAACCTGATTTAGCTAGTAAAATTTTTCATTCATGTATATTTGTTTTGTATATATTTTGCTAATTAGTGGTTAATAAAATTCGTAATTCAATCGAAGAAATCGAACAAACAATTTATGCATCAAAAGAAGCATCTCGATTAAAGTAATTATATTATTTTCAAAATTCCATTTCTTTTCTAAATCAAATCATTATTTAAGATACGAAGAACTTATTGCTGAAGAACGTTTACTATCGAATGAAGTACAAGCATTAAATGATAAGATTGAATTATGGTCTAAGCAACGACCTGGTCAACAACGAAGCGATTCAGTTCCACCATCCGGATCTGCACGTAAATTGGATACATCCAATTCAAATCTTTTGCCTGAAATTATTGAATATGACGTGAGTAACTCTGCCATATTCATCAATATACATTAGTAGATAAAAGTCTTCGCTCAAATCGATCTCAGCGACTATATGCTTTGAAGGTCTGAAAATTTGTATACACAGACTTCAACAAGAATGTAGGTCATTAACATTGCGACGTTGTTATATCTTAATTATAAAGAGAATTATGATGGATGACATTTGTTTTTTTTAATGTCTGCCTCATAACCCTAGAAAGGAAGAATGTTTCCTTTCAAAGATTGTTATCATTGTTGTGAAGAAAAACCATTAGCTGTCTTACGGAAGTAAATAACTCAATAATAGTTCAATGAAACGAGTTCAAACTTTTTGAGAACTTTCTTCTCCAGTTAGACATTACCTACAAGTTTCAAAAATGGATTTCACAATAAACAGAAATGAAACATAGATGATAATCTTATTAGTTGCAAGGATTCAGCAATATTAATATTCGATTAAATACTTATATTTTTTTGATAAAGACAGGTCATAGATTGGACAACAAAGACGTATTAAAATATCAAGAATTAGTCATATTTTTAGTGAGAAATGGTGCTGAAATATCAATGACCTATATTCTTGGTACAGTACATGTACACGAATTTTTAGACTTCCAACGCACATACAGTGGTCAAGATTGACTGAGACAAAAACTTTTGTTCACATACTGTATATGATTTTATATTCATAGCGTTTTCTACTTGAACATGGTGGGACAACAGGAAACTGGGATGAATACGACCATGGAACATTTCTGCGAATTCGAAATAAATATAAGGTTCTAATTAAATGATTTATTATTGCAAAAAACAATAAATATGAAAAAAATTTTCTTATAGGGTGAAGATAAATTTATTGATGATTGTATTGGTTTTTTACCAACTAAAACTCGAGATCATATTCAAGAACATGAAAAATGGTATCGACAATTTTTAAGTATTAGTAATAAACGTCGTCTAGCATTAAAAAAATGGCGAGATGAAAGAAATGTAAGTTTTTTTTCTGATTAAAAAAAAAAGTAAAAATGAATTGATTTATTACACTTGCAGCAAGCTAAAGAAACAATTTTACATGAAGCTGAACAAGCACATAATACACTTAAAGAGATTGATGAAGCTGTTCATCGAGTACAAGCTAAAGAACAAGAACGAATACGAGCTGAAAAGTCAGCTTTATTAGTTGCTTGGAAACAAGAACGTGAATTAAAGCAACAAGAAATTGAAGAAGAACAAGAACGAATTGAAAGGAAAAAACAACAAGATGAAGCAAAACGACTTGCTGAAAAAGAAGAACAAAAAAAGTTAGTTGAACAAATTCGTCGTGAACGTGAAGAAAATGAACGAATTGAACAAGAACAAGAGGCAAGACAACGACGTCTTCAACAAGAAATAAGACAACGAACAGCTACAGCTGCTATTCGTAAATTTCGTGAAAGAGTAAAAATTTTAATTTCAAATAAAAGAAAAACAATAGCAACTTATTCATTTTCATTCTTAGGATATGAACAATTTAGAAGATAAAATTGTACGGGATAAATTACAAAAACAAGAAGAAGAAGCTCGACAACAACGTCTCGAAGCAGCTAAATATCAAGTATCAATTGATTATGATCCTCAACATTTATATGAACCAACACAAGCATGGACATCACGTAGTAAAACTCCTCGAGAAGTATCTAAAGATACGTCTGCTCCACCAAGTATTTTATATGTGCTTCACCGAGCAACACCCAGTTGGCGTCAATAACAAACTTTTCCCTGCTTCATTTGCTTCCGTCTGCAATAGTCAGATTGTACGTTGATTTCGATTAATCTGTAAATTTTGAAATAAAATGAATAAATACTTTTTCTATTATCTCGATCATATAAGATAACTCTAATTGAATAAATATTTTTTCATAGATGGTATAATACATATCCAATAAATTCTAGGTATCAATGAAAATTAGTTTATATGCAAAGAAAGAGTGATCCCTATCTACCTATATCTATATGAACTTCAAGTACCGAGGACCATGTTTTTAATGGCATATTATCCAATGGCATTATCTCTCCTCGAAAATCGGTCTCGACCCAAGTATATTCAAATCGCAGGAAATTTTTGAGCCCTATATCATGATGTTTTCGGAAGGTATTCAATTAACAAGGGTACAAAAATGGCTCATTTGGCAATTGAAAATTTTCTGTGGTTCTTTATTCTATAGAGATATTTTTTTTTGTTTAAGGAGAGAAAAGTTCAAAGTCTCAAAAACAATGGCGCTCTAATTATACAAGTAGGCTGTTATTTAATAATAACAAAGCTTAATTCAAAAAACGAGCTCTATCACGCCCTACATATTGGCATGGTCTTTCAAACAAACAAAAAGGCCATTGGCTGCAATCAAGCTGCTTCAAGAATTCTGGTATGTATAATAAAAAAAAACATACTTTTCAAGTAGAAAATGACGAAAGTTTTGAGAAAAATGATATGCCAAATAAAACAACTATGTCATTTATGAAAACTGACTTTTTCTGATGGAGGAAGGCTTAAAATTTCCAAATTTCCTCTGTATCCATACTCTAATTTTCACCGTTCTTCTGTTTATAACACCATTATTACAAGAGATAATATCATTTAAAACATCATCCTAACTACTCGAACCTCATATACATATAGTTAGGTAGGGATCACTCTTTGTTTATATATAAACTAATATTTATTGACGCTCAAAGCTTGTTGAACACCTTTTACATTAGCAAAACTTCGCGGATTAGCACAGTATGTCGCCATAATAGATATTGATTGCCTCTATGTGTCGCCACATAATTTAATTCGATTTCTATTGGTTAAAATCTTAACAGGAAAAACAAGGAGCAAGCATGTGCATACATACACACATATCTATACTGCAAATGATTGTTTATTTACGAATTGTTTTGTTGTTTGACTCATATATTAGAAAGAAAAACATTAGTTATAGGAAATAAAATAATATCAACATATGAATAATGTTCTTTTTATCTATCTGTTTAGATCTTTAATATTGCCAATCAATGGCTAGCAATTTTCAGTCGCGAACAGGTATGATCATGTATAGACGTATTAGCGTTCAACAGTTATCATATATATATAGCTAAATGAAGAACGAGAAAAAAAAGAATTTTGATTAGCACGTTTTATTGAGATCGACAACTGATACATATATATATAGAGAGAGAGACAGAGAGATTATCAATTTATTTTTATATTTTATTTAGTTGTTCCACGAAGTTTTAAACTATTGGAAGAACTTGAGGCGGCTCAAAAAGGCCATCATGAAGGGTATGATAGAATAATATTTCTTCGTTTTTGAAAACAATTTTTCCTTTATTATATGAAGATCGGTATCATGGGGTCTCGAAGCTAATGATGATATGTCACTATCTCGGTGGGTTTGTATGATTATTGGACCGTCACGAGTATGTTGTGAAAAAATTTTTTTTTAGAAATGAACTAATACTAAATCATGTTTCTTTTTTTCAGACGCCTTATGAAGGTCGCATTTATACACTGAAAGTTCATTGCAATGATCGTTATCCAGAAGAACTACCGACAGTTCGTTTTCAGACACGTATCAATCTCACTGGTGTTTCAGCTAATGGCTCAGTAAGAATTTTATCTTCAATAAAGAAAAAAAACAAAGCTTTTTTCATTAAATACTTCTATTCCATTTAGGTTGATCCAAAATATGTGTCATCTCTTCGTAATTGGAATCGAGATATGACTATTCATCAAGTGTTGAACGATATTCGAGCGAGCATGTCAACAAAAGAGAATGCAAAATTGTCTCAACCATCTGAAGGAGCACTTTATCCATCTCAGTGATTATTAACAAATAAATATCTATATAAAAGAAAAAACGCTTATCATTCTCTTTCTGTTCGAGTTTCTTATATAGTTTTCTGCAAAAGAAAAAAATAGAAAATAACATCAACTTCGGACGGAAATCTTTACTTGTTCAACCTTATTTTTTGTGATACCTCTTTTTTTCTTTGTGTTCTTTTTTCGCTTGCTTAACATCTTAAATCCTTTGTGTATGATTCATTTTTCTTTGTTTTATCCCATAAACTAAACTTCAAGTCATTTGTTCTAGAAAAATGAAATTAACATTAACACCATCAAAAAAATCTAATTCATCAACAACAGCTGATGTTGATTCATCATCAACATCAGATTGTGATGTTCGAATTCATGAAGGTTCTTCGTATCAAGCTAATATTCCATCATTAAATCCAACACCATTATCAACTGATCATGAAGCTATACTATTTTGGCGACCAACTGATTCAATAAGTGAAAATGATCTTATTGAATATATTGATTTTGCACGTCGTAAACATCGTATGAATGAAGAACAAGCATTAGCTATATTACAAATATGCAAATATAAAATCTCAACAAGTAAATTACTTATGCAACAATATACACCTGAAATTGATGAATGGACAGTTGAAGAAAAATGTTTATTTGAACAAGCATATAAATTTTATGGAAAAATGTTTTCACGTATAAGACAAATGTTACCTGATAAAAGTGTTGGTGATCTTGTACGTTATTATTATTCATGGAAAAAAACACGTTTACATAAAAGTTTAATGGATAAACATGAAAAACAAAGTCAATTAATGCCTTATGATGATGATGAAGATAGTGATGATGATGAACGAAATACAACATCAATACCATTACCAACAAAGTAAATTAATAACAAATAGAAAAAAGATGATAATCGATAATAGATGCAATTGGTCCTCAAGAAATTCGGTTTCTTCTATGTCAAACTCGAACACAAAGTGTTCGAAAGTAATTTGTAGGGAAATTAACTGCATACCATTTATTTATGCTGCGCCTAGACCGATTGAAATAGTAAATATCTGTCACATCTAAACTGGGTCCAACTGTTCATGATCGGTCAAGCTAATTTGATATATGATTTTATGCTTTTTTGACTAGTGTTTAGTAGATTTCGATTAGAAGATGTGTAATCCGTGCGAAAATAATATGATATTCTGAATTGACATTCAAAACCGACAATATATATATGGGTTTCAAATAACGCAAAATCACAGGTGATTAAAGAACCCAACTTGCGTTATGATGGAATTTATTTTTGCCCTTATTTGGTAGAGGACTACGAGCAATTTTTTCGACGAAAAACAAAAGTTTATAATAGTACTTGAAGCTCATATATGTTTACTTCGTTTTGAATGCTGATTCAGAATATTATATTACTTTCAAATTGCATCGTACTTTTTCTGATCGAACCCTATTGAATACCAGTGAAAAATGCATAACATTACGTCTCAAGAATAGAATTCTTCGATACTTGTGTTTTTTTTCTCTATATTTTTACACCATTTTGTAGTGCCATCGATCTATATGAAAACTAGCCTGGCCTATCCATCAAACTAATAGATAAAAAGAGTTGATTGTCATCAACAGTCGGATTCAACATAGATATGGCAGTCATTTACAATTTCAATCGGCCTACACACACCCCATAAGCAAATGGTATAGGGCTAATTTCACCAGAAATCATTGTCGGACACCTTATGTTGGTGTTTGACATAGAAGAAATCGAATTTCTCAAGAGGACCAATTTCATCATTTATCGACCGTTTTCTTTGAAAAAAATTGTTTATTTAAATTTATTTAGAGATTTGGATCATCGTGGTAAAATGCCAAGTGATCAAACAGGTATTGATGAACAAGAATGTTGTAATTGTGAAGTCATAAATATAAATGGTAGCATTGGACCTATGCATTCTACTCCTAAAGGTATACTTTGTGATGAATGTTTTATTTATTGGCAAGATTCTGGTTTAATGCGACCTGAATTATATCCAAGTAAATCATCAATGAAAAAAATCAAACGACCACCAAAAAATATGGCACTTGATTTGGATAGTTTAATTGCAATGAATTTATATGATAATGCTTCAACATCAAATACAGATAATAATGAAATAATCGATCCAATTGAAAAACTTGAAGAAGATATACGTCAAGAATTAGCAGTTATTCAATCACATAATCAAACTATTGATCTATTAACAGATCAATGTCGAGATGGAATGGAAACAATGCGTACACCATTTCTTACATCATCATCATCACCATTTATGATCAATAATTCCAATTCAACAACAATAACACCAACATCAAATTGGTCAACGGAAGAAATTCTTTTAGCTATACAAGCATTTGGAAAATATGGAAAAGATTTTGATGCTGTTGCACGTATTATTGGTTCAACAAAGACAGTTGCTGATGTCGAAACATTTTTTCTTGAATGTCGTGAACGTTATCAACTTGATATGGTTATTGAAATAAATTCGAAACCAATAACAAATGTACAACGTAAACAACAATCTTCAACAACAAATAACGATTTAAATTCCAATCGATCAAATACTAATGATATTGTTCTTTGTTAGTTAATTGTTTAGATTATCTTTTCTTGTTGTTAGTGTAAATAACAATTTCTTTTTGTTGACTGTAGCTATTTGAAAGATACAAAGGAAATCTTATTTTCATTTCAGATTTCGTTTCCTTTTTGTTTTTTGTTTGACGAAAAAACAACTACAAGAAAAACATTATGGAAGATATTATTGTTTCACTTGAACCAGCATTTCATCGTGTTGAACGATTTATGTTATGGCATAATCGATATGCAAGTTTACTTGCATTTTTTATTGGTCATTGTATTTTTTATGCAATAGCACGGGCTGGTTTACGTCCATTTTGTGCTATAACGCTTGTTGTTTTAATATTTCATATGCTAGATTGTTTAAAAAAGAAACGATCAAATTTATTGGTTAATGGAGAACAAAATTTATGTGAATTAACTAAACTTGTTTTACGTTCATATCATCATTTGTGTGAAACACATGAAAAATTAAATACACTTAAAACAGAAAATCGTGTCAAGTATTCAATACTTATTATTATTATTTGTCTTATACTTGCATATATTGGTGTAAAAATAAATGGTTTTTATGTATCATACATAACTATGTTAATACTTTTTACATTACCCGCCATTGTTTATCATAAATTAATACCAAAATTACTTCAACGCTTAGCACCTGTACTTGAACAACTTGATCAATCAATGTAAGTGAAGAGAATTTTTTATTTGCATGCATTCCTTGTTTTCTAAACACGATCTAAAAGGAGTGTTGAAGTGTATAGGATAGAACTTTGTACCTTCCCTCATATTTTGATAGATGCTGGCCAAAAACCATCACACACTATGACAGACATTGTTGATATATAATCACAGACTGTATATCAATAGCAGATCATTAGAATATATTAACTACTTCCTTATTGTATTTTTGGAAAGCTAAGTCAAATGAGGTGAAGAATGCGTCTCAAGATAGAAAGAATTAAACAATCTGACAGGGATTGTGCTAACAACTTATTTTTTCTTCTATGAAATAGGGAATATAAACGACGTTCATTACTTGATCGAAAAGATTTATTAGTCAAAATTGATAAATCTGGATCCATTGATGATGATGATGATGATGATGTTCGACGATTAAAACAACAACGTGATTTATTACGACAAGAACAATTAGAAACGAAGCGTCAACATTTAAATATAACTGATGATGATGATGAAGATGAAGATGAAGATGAAGAAGTAAATGAACTAAAATTAATTGATACAAATGATCAAAGTCAAACAATATTAAATTTTCGACAACGTTATCAAAATGAAACGGATACAAATGATGTTGCTCTTGTACCAAAACAAACAAATGTAAATGATTCAAGTTATGATATGCTTAGTGATTCATCATCATCAGTTGCGGATGATGAAACAGCTCGTATAAGTGAATTATATGCTAATGTTGGTGATCAATTTGATGGTAAACATCGTATTAAAATCAAAGGTGACGAATTAAAAATCAAAGGGCGTTCAAATAAACAACGACCAAAACTAATGGATGCACAATTTTTTCAATCAAATATTGATAATAATCATACGAAAATAAACAAACCATCTGCACCAACATTAATTAATACAGCATCGAATGTTCCACATAGTGAACCAGATTTAACAAGTTTTGATTTTCTCAATGATTATGATGAAAAAGCATAATTGAGTATATTTGTGTTAGTGTGTTTTTCTAATTCAAAGCAATACTACTCCTTTTTTTTTTCTTCTTTTATCTTTGGTGATTACACGTTTTTTACTGTATAAAGAGTGTTCAAATACGATATTTGTTTTTTTTTTTCTAGTACTTTATGTCATTTCGATTATGTATATAAGATGATGAACATTTTAGAAATCATTGCTAAAAGACAAATTTGTATCTTATATTGTGTTTTTATGTGCCTATCTTCTTTTTCATTTTATACCTTGTCAACCGTTTAGTCCGTATGTGCGCTTGTTGTTCGTTTCAGTGAACAGTGTATTTTAAAAAATAAATTTTAAAAAAACACAACACAATCTTAAATATCGATCAACTCATGAAAATGTCTCATTTTATTTCTTCTGCATCAAAATACATAGATCGAATTTCATGTCGTTAAATCTTGCTGGAAGAAAAATTCATTATTTTCTAATGTGTTTCTCTTCGTACTTAATCGAATAGAATACGAACAATAACACTTGAAATGGTACAACAAAGTTTTTCTAGATTGCACTGTAATATAACTCATTTTCGCTTACCCTATTTACAATTGTTTTCATGACTCGTGACTTAAATATTTAAAAAACTGATATTCGACATCGTTGAACTGATGGTGATTAACAATTTTATGGAAAATTTAGAAGGGTTTGTAGAAGTTCTAAGATTCTTTATATTCACTAACGGTTATTTGATTACATTAAATGATTAGCATCCAAAAAGCTTTTTCAACTGATAGAAACGATTTCTTTAGAAATCAGGTAGCTAGTTTAAAAGCTCTTTAGAAATGTGCTAGGTTATGAATTTATTTGAGGGTATTATCTTTCGTTTTTTTGAATTGACAAAATCAGGTTTAGTTTCTCAGTTGTAGTCAAAACTAAAATTGAATTGCTATGGATGAATGGTAAGAATATGTCTCTTCATTGTTCATATTTAGAGATTAACCTTAGTTTTCATATTTATTTGAGTGAGTAAGTACAAATCGGAAATATTTAAAAATTATTGAAAAGAAATAAGTTACAGAAAACAAATGTTTACATTTATTTAATTGAATCAACTGTATTTAGTCAGAATGACGATTTCATTATTGATTCCTGAAATGAGAGTTGTTCAGTGTTGTTGCTGTTTATCATATTAATAGTTTCCTTTTGCATAACATCAAATGGAATATCAGGTTTGCGATATTCTTTAATAATTGCTTCTTCCCAAGCCGAACAAATCAAGCCATTATCACGATGTTCGTGCTCAACCATCTTGTTTTGCTGAATATTTACATTATAGATGCTCCGTCCGATGAGATTAATACGAGAAATGCTGGAAACCAATAGACGAACACAAGATTGCTGCATGATATTCGATGTATATCACCTATATTCATTTGAGAGCTTATATATATCCGAAAAAAAGTGTGATATTTACTTTTGGCGTCTTGACAAAACGTGTCCACCTATCATATTGCATATGCTTATCTTTTCACCATGTTGTTTTGGGCGGATTTAGTATTGACAAAAAGTGCATTAAGATGACTCACCGTGTCTCAATGAGTTGAAATACTTTTAATAAAAATACAGTAGCTTGCTGTTGCTAATGAATATCTGTTGTAATAGCAATATGAACAATTATTTAGACATGCAGGCCCATTCATTTCTGTTATTATATACTTTATTCACTGCGGTGGAGCAAACAGTATAGAAGTTACGTTAAACTATCAAAACAGATGATTCGCGACATGATTTGGCAGCAAGTGTAGCACGTGTCACTCATTTTATACCACATCATATCTATTGATGGATATTATCATACGATGGTTTGTCTTATTGAGGTTCATATGCATCAAGATTTAAAATAGTCGTATAAATGAGAAGATAAGTGGGATGACAAAAAATATACTTTTACTCAATTAAGATGAATGGCTAGAACATGAAATTTATTGGAATCTATGAACAGGTAGATAATTGACATTGAGAATAAGTGAAATCAATCCAATGCACTTCCATATATTTGGGGGAAAAAAACGAATAGATTATATAGAGCAAGAAAGATTGTTTCTCATTCACGCTAACATCGTGTTAAAAGAACATTATTTCGCTCTACTAATCATCATAAACGTTGTTTTTTTCTTTTTCAGTTAGAGCTGTACTGTTAACCAGAGACACATTTTCAAACCGACCTCGGTTTTCGTTCCGTTTGGTGTTTAGGAAAATTTATACGATTTAAAGCAGTATATAGACAATTAAAGCATTTCTCAAGTAATAATCAAAGCTGTTTTTTTTTCTATTATGATCTTGAATATAGCACTCGACAGGGCTTACATAACAATATAAAAATAAAATGTGATATTTAAGCATCAGGCAATAATGTAGATGCAAAAAGTATCACCATTATTATTACACTCAATATTAAGCCTGCTTATGTGGGTATTAAGCGAATGAATATAGAGATCAAAAAATAAAAAATAAAATACTTCAAGACATTTAAGTAGCAGCCAGTAAGAGAAAGCAAATGATAATACTCGCAGGCGTTTCGAGGACGGAAAAGAAGGAAAGGAGAAGGATTTTGCATGTCCTTTTCTTTGTTTGAAACTGCTCTACTTTCAATTAATGACACTAATTTTAAGTGAAGCAATTTCTACTTTTCTATCTATTGATTTAGACGATTGCAACGAAGAAATTGGTCAATATAATTTTTCTATCTTTTATAAAAATCATCCCAAAGAAAAATATTATTATAGAAAGATAAAGATTTGTTTGCACATACATTTTAACCTGCTTTAAGAGACTGTGGAAGAGCGACACAATAGTTGACGACGAACATAAAACTTCTACTGTTATAATTAGTGTTGTTACTGAGCAACTAGAGCAATCAAAACTTTCCAAAGGATATCTGAATGCTTTCTATACATTTATCAGCAGTTAATTTTCCAGAAAACTGCGATAGCTTCGACGATTTGAAAGATTTTCATAATTAGTAAGTTACAGGACGGGTAGCTATGGAAAACATTAACTTCATTGAAAAAAATTGTGCATTTACTCAAGGTTGCTATTTACAAATACTAATTTCTTCAAATTTTAGTAAAACCATTTAAAGCTTTTTAGAGAATTTGCATTGATTCTTCTTGAGTGACAATCCTAATGGTGTAGATTGCATATGAAACAATCATTTTACCTGCAAAAGCTAGTTGTTACTAGACGACTCAAGCTACATGTTCGATATTATCAAAAACCATGTGAACATTTGATGAATAAATCACTCTTGATTGTGTTTAGTACTTGTCTACGAAAACTATTCGTTCGCAATAATGGACGGATTTGTGTCATATTATTCCTTGGCACACTAGTAATCACAGAAACAAGTATTCTATCTACTTAATTGAATATATCATATATGGGAATCCTTTTCTTCACATTAGTCGAAGTTTTCATAATCAGTATTTTTATTTTGCATTACAGAAATGTAAAACATCCTGCTAATCTGAAGCGAGTAGGATCCTACATATAAATTTAAGATGTTTACTTAATCTCCTAATGTGTTTCTTTTCGTACTCAATGGGACATAATAAGCACGATGACGGTTGAAATGGTACAACAAAATTTTTCTAGATTGCACTATAATGTAACTCACTTCCGCTTACCATGTTTGCAACTGTTTTCATGACTCTTGACTCCAATATTTAAAAAAATCATATTCGATGTCGTTGCACTGATGAGGATAAACTATCATAACGAAAAGTTTAAAAAGGTTTATGGAAGCTCTAAGATTCTTTATATTCACTACTGGTTATTTGATTATATTAAATGATTAGCATCCAAAAAGCTTTTTCAACTGATAGAAACGATTTCTTTAGAAATCAGGTAGCTAGTTTAAAAGCTCTTTATAAATGTGCTAGGTTGTGAATTTATTTGAGTTTATTATCTTTCGTTTTTTGAATTGAAAAAATCAAGGTTAGTTTCTCAGTTGTAGTCAAAACTAAGATTGAATTGCTATGGATGAATGGTAAAAATGTGTCTCTTCATTGTTCATATTTAGAGATTAACCTTAGTTTTCATATTTATTTGAGTGAGTAAGTACAAATCAGAAATATTTAAAAATTATTGAAAAGAAATAAGTTACAGAAAACAAATGTTTACATTTATTTAATTGAATCAACAGTATTTAGTCAGAATGACGATTTCATTATTGATTCCTGAAATGAGAGTTGTTCAGTGTTGTTGCTGTTTATCATATTAATAGTTTCCTTTTGCATCACATCAAATGGCATATCAGGTTTACGAAATTCTTTAATAATTGCTTCTTCCCAAGCCGAACAAATCAAGCCATTATCACGATGTTCGTGCTCAACCATCTTGTTTTGCTGAATATTTACATTATAGATGCTCCGTCCGATGATATTAATACGAGCAATGCTGGAAACCAATAGACGAACACAAAGTTGTTGCATGATATTTGATTTATTTCATCTATATTCATTTGAGAGCTTATATATATCCGAAAGAAAGTGTGATATTTCCTTTTGACGACATGACACAATTGCCCACTTATCATATTGCATATGCTTCTCTGATCATTACCAGAGCTCCATGTGGGATGGGACAATCCCATCTCATGGAACGGAAAATAACTGGAGAATTATCCCGTCCCATCCCATGCAAGAGTTTGAAAATAGCCCATCCTATGAAACAGACGTGTTTTACAAAAAAATTTTAAATTAAGAAGAAAATCGTTTCGAAATAGTTGTTTTTCTCGCCTATTCTAGCGAAACAGGTGAGAAATAATTTTTTTCCTATTCTGTAAGTAGTCAAGCACTAATCATTGGAATTGGAGAAAACAAATAACAATGAATCAACATATAAAATAACAACGCAGCCCCATCTATTGTAATAGTAACAAATGACTTGATTCTGGTTTTACTTGCAATCGATAGTGTGTTTTCGAACAATTCATCGTCTATCATTCAATGTCAATCTGCTCAACCACAGTTTGATCGTCTTCTATGATCACATTATTCTCATCTTTGTTTGTTGATTCTTCATCAGCTGTTCATTAATTTACAACTGAATAAACTACTCGCTTATTAGAAAAAGATCCAGAGAATTATCAAGTCATTAAAAATACAAAGAATAAGTTATCTTCGAGTTTTTTGACGAACTTTTGATATTTCAGTCAACAAGTCTTGTATAAAAGAAGAATTAGAATCAACTCAAGACTTTGTCAGTTGTCAATTACGTTTTCAGTCGTATGCATTTACATCGAATTCTGATAAACGAATACTCAACCCACATAATTGTGCTCAAAATTTATCGCCTAGCAAAAGAAAAAGATCTCCATCGATAGGTGATGATGAAACTCAAATGAAATTAGAAGCAGTTTACATTTATAGAGAGAATACAATGTTTTATTTCACTGTGAAAATAAGTACAAGAAATATAAATTTGATTATAATAAAATTATGAAATATACAATAAAATGAGGTAAAATTTAGCGGGTATTAATGAAAACGATAGATGTGTTTAGAATTTTTTTAAAGATATTTGACAAGCGTGAAGTTTCATCCTATCCCACGTCGGACGGAAAATTTTGAAGGCAATCCGATCTCACGTGGAACCCTACCCATCACATTATTAAGAACGGATTTAGTAAGTACAAAAGTGCACACAGTTGACTCAAAAATACGGACAATCATTTGGGCATACAATATCATGCATTTCTTTTATTATATATTTTGTTCACTATAGTGATGGATACAGTATAGAAATTACGTTAAACAATTGAAACAAATGGCTCGCCACATGATTTGAGGTTCATAGGCATCAAGATTTAAAATAGTTGTATGAATAAGAAGACAAGTGGGATGACAAACAATAATATATTGGAATCTATGAACTGTTAGAGAACTCACATTCAGAAGGGTGAAATGAATCCAATGCAGTGGTATATATTTGTATGTTCAGTATTAAGTCTGCTTATATTGATATTAAGAGAGTAAATATAGAGACAAAAAAGAGCATAAAAAATCGAAGAAGCTTAAGTAGAAACGAGTAAGACAAAGCGAAGGATAATACCAGCGCATGTTTCGAGAACAGAAACAAAGAAGCGTGAAAAAACGGAAAAGAAAAGAATTCTGCATGTCCTTTTCTTTGTTTAAAATTGCTGTACTTTCAATAAATGATACACATTTTAAGTAAAGCAATTTATACTTTTCTATCCATTGTTTTACACGATTACAACAGAAAAAATAAACCCATGTGATTCTTCTTTCTTTTACAAAAACCATCTCAAAGAAAAATATCATTATAAAAAGGCAAAAATCAAGATTCGTTATGTACATACGTTTTAACCTTCTTGAAGAGACTGTGGGACAGTGATGCACTAGTCGAAGACCAACACGGAATTCTCATCGTAATAACTATTGTTGCGACTCAGGAAGCCAGGCAATCAAAGCTTTCAAAGCTATATCTGAATGTTTTTCAGAAAGTTGCGATATATTCGACGATTTGAAAGATTTTTATAATTAATAAGATGCAGACATCATTTTACCTATATTTTCACTGATTTCCACTCAGAATCTAAAAACTAGAGATATTTTCAGTTAAATGTATATTGATTAAAGTTGCAATTTGTGAATTATTTGAATAATTAAGAAATAGTCATCAATGAGTTTCGACGCAACGCTTTTTTTTTGAAGACCCCATATATTATAAGTGAGAACTCAATTTCTGTTTCATCATAATATCATACGACTTCTCTCTGGTTATTTACGTGTTATGGATTATATTTGTATGCTGTCATATCCTTCGTGTATCTCTGTATATTCGCAGAAAAGTTCTTTAATTGAGTTTATTCACATGAAATAAATTGCAATAAAAGTTGTGCAATTGAAAATGTACAAATGCCTAAAAAGGTGAGAGTAAGTCAGCATGGAAATAGAAACTATGTTTGAAGAAATGTTTATTAAAAGATCTACTTGAAACTTAATCGTTTTTCACGACGGACCAGTATGATTAGAAACAAGATGATCTATGAGTTGGTATTCTTAGGCTTACTCGAACCGAACCCAGGTCAAATCTTCATTGTCAAATTACAGAAATAGTAACTACGAAAAACACAAACAAGATTGAAAAAAATTGTGCACATACTCAATATTGCTGTGAGCAAACACTAATATCTCTAAAATTGTGTAAAACCATGTAAAAACTTTCAGAAAATTGGCATTGATGCTTTTTGATTGGCAATACTAATCGTGCAGATTGCATATGAAAGACACATTGCAGCTATGAAAGCTAGTCGTTACTAAACCACCCAAACTCTTCTTTTGATTTTATCAAAAACTAAGTGGGCATTCGATGGATGAATCACTCTTGATTGTGTTTAGTGCTCGTCTATGAAAACTATTCGTCTTCACTATCATTTTGTCCTTCATGTTTACGTTAGTCATAAGAATAGATAAGAAACTTGTCATCATCGGCTATCTTTGTTAAGTTTCTTTTTTTGTATTTAAATTTTCTTTTTTACATTGTAGTTGTTGTTTCTCGTATTATTCACATAACGAAAGATAATTTGTTTGCCATCGAAGAAGAATTTAGAATTCTATTGTATACGAATTTTCTTTCGAAATACATATCTTCTCATAGCTCATAAATAGAGAAAATGAATCATAGTGTGTCTTTTCATGTAATATGCTAGAGTAAAACTATCACACGAATCTTTTTTATTAAAGTGAGTTGATCAGTTATAACTTGTTTTCGACTACATCATGTATGAGTACGAAGAACAAAGGATCATACGTATCATTGAAATATGTACAAATACATAAATGTCACTTAAATTATTTTTATTACGTCATGTCTTTTAATTTTATAGTGCGTAGACGAAATTTGAATTTTTCAAATCTTTCACTTGCAATCAACAACTGCAGTGATGTTGTCGTATGGCGTTTATGTAGCAATTTTATTTAGTTCAGTTTTCATCATCGTCTTAGTTGGATCTATTATTCTATTTAAAATATCGCTTCAACGACTTGCTATACTACTTGAATCAATATTTCACTTTAAACAAGTACGTACTATTGGTAAGGACTATATTGTCATTGACGTATGTGGTGATCAGTTTGAAATATCCAAGACAATATGGAGTCGTCTTCCTTTTGTGTTTGCACTTGGTATGTGTCTATTAGTTACTATTCTAGTATTTATCGAAGGATGTATCTTTTCAACACGACATGTATATTCGACAAAAGCATGTTCAGATCGAATGCCAAATTGTTATCTATTTAAATCACAGTTTACATCATTCAGACCATTATATGAATTCGTTTGTGAACCAGATAAACCAGTCATTCCATCGAATATGTCTGCAAGCTATGCTGTATGTTATGGTTTTGTTCTTCTTGATCAATCAACAATTGATATTCTCAATCAACTTGGTGTTTGTACAGGTATTCTATCATTGGTTGAATCTCTTTATCCACTTGCTTACAAGTTTGGACGTCGAAAGTATGGATGGATTTGTGTAATATTATTTCTTAGTGCAATGGTGATCACAGAAATAATTATTCTAGCGATACAATTGAATATATCGTTTATGACAATCATTTTATTCACATTAACTGAAGTTTTGATACTCAGTATTTTTATTTTGCACTACAGAAATGTGAAACATCCTGCTAATCTAAATCGAGTAGGATCCTACATAGAAATGAAAGATGTTCACTAAATTGGATTAACGAACTGTTGACATTTGCTATGTTATATATTAACTACTAATGACGGACGCCTTTGTTTATATTTCAATTCCTTCTGTTTGCTTTCATACACATTATTTCATGAAACATCCACTTATGTAGATTTTTTTTCTAAATAATTACCAGTAGCTTTTCTTTTGAGACATTTCTTATTGATTTCGGCAGGTGAATATATTTTGTTTTAGCGTGAAATAGGTTGTCATCGATATTAAACTGTTTGTTCAGCAAATCTTTTCTCGAGCAAGTATCTAAAATTCAATTTCGATTAAGTTTATTTTTTACAGGTGCATAAATTATTTATTGACATGTCGAATAGTATCGTGTAACTTACGAAATATTGTTTGTTTCTTTTTTCGTAACGTATATGTGTAATACATAATGTTTAACAGATCAACTGTGAAGTAGATTGTTCTTTGGAGCAAGCTGTTAGTATACTATTTCATCCTTACGTAAAAACAAACCAAGAGAATGATTAGGATGAATTCTTTGTAAGCCAGATTCTTTTTGGCACCTACAAAATTATTAATCATGTTCACACATTCTGCTTACCACAAATTTATTCTCCAAGCGCGAGCACAAGTTTCGTATTAGAAAAATCATCAAATACTATTCATGCAATATATGCCATTTGCATTGAGTACGATTCATCTAAAATATTGTTGTTGATTTCGTTCGATGTTTACAAGAACATGTATCACTCACTTTCGAACAAAAATGAACTCAAGAAAATCACTGGCACTTTATGTGTTTCGAACCTTGAAACTTTGTCAAAATTAGAATATACACGGTTTATAAATCATCAGCAATACCACTTAAACATGTTCTCTTAATCATTCATTGTCATATCCATTTTCAAATTTTCTTTAATGATTGTATTTTGTTTCGTTCTATTGAGACTTTCTCAAAATTCACACTTCTTAATTTTCTACTTATGACGATCTATTCCCTCAGAAAATTCATTTTTTTCGAAAAAAAAAGACCAAATTGTAAGAGACTGTTGTTAGAAATTTCAACCCTACTACCTAATTTTTCGAGAAACTGTCGCGATTTTTTCAACGTTTTGAGAATGCTGTCTTTTTGCTTACATCGACATTGAATAAACATTCTTATATAATTTAAGCATGGTAAATGATGCTAGCATATGTCATCTGCTACGTACTTTTAATAACTCTACTTAAATATATTATGAATATTCCATTTTAATGCTTTTTTTCTGGATTTGAATGAAAAAATTCATGCCTAAGCTTATTTATCGTTCTTCTCAGAATATGATTTCTAATCCGAAAAATTAAAACAATTCCCACCCGCCTCCAGATATAATCAATATTTTCTTTTTGTCTTAAAAGTATAAATAAAATGAAACTGGTCTTAGACCAGATTTTTTTATAATTGGCTTCTGTTTAAAAAAAAAAGCGAAATGTGGTGACAAAGTTATAAAGATTCTTCTCGAGACTATAAATGGGATATAAATAAGTCGGAAGTTCCATCTAGTTTAACATATCGAACTGAGATTTTTTACAGAAGCGTTTCTCACCAGAGCAACTCATTATTGAAAATTTCAGTCCGAATGGACCATCCTGAATATGTAGCATCCCAGGTTGAGTTGATGATATGGCACTGTCTATCTTCACTTCTTAGTTGAATGAACCGTTCATTATCCCTTGTCATTTCTTCCCATCTTATGCTTTGTCCCTAATCTATCATTGCTTCTGATCATATGCAGTGAGATTAGTCCTGATTCGTCCCTTTTTGAATTATTCCGATTGGAACCTCCAAATTTTGTTTCGAATACGTTCCAACTTTATTTAATAGTCGAATTTTCATGCTTACGTCTGTCTACATTAACAAATCCACATCTATATCCATCAAGCAGAACAAAGTCAAATTCAACTTCGCAACAGAAAAAAACGAAATGATGATATTGGCTTGTTTCTCGAAAATTGACTCAAACGGTTCTCAGATGAACAAATTGGTAAGATGAATTTAGCCATTAAATGTAGTGAATTTGTTAAGATTAGTTATATCAAATAATGGCATGCCTGTCGATATTAACTGAAATTTTTCTCTGATAAATGCTTGAAAAAGAAAAATATGTTGATACTTATTTTTTGATATTATCATAAAAATTGTCCTTCACACTCAGCAACAGCACATTAGTAATGCGTGTATATAAAAATTAAGTCCTAATTTAATCGGAAGAGATATCTAGAATGGACCAAAATTCGTAGACAATTAAGCAAGGACAAGTCAATGGGGAACTCAGTTGGGGACGAATCAGGAGTATCCCCGTGCATTCTATTGTTAACCACCTAAGTGTCCTGACTATTTCTCTTCTTCTTTCGTTCTCCCTTCTTCTTCTGCTGTGTCCTGCTTACGCATTTAAACGTGTAATTTTTATGTAAACAGTACGATTACAGGTACGAAGAAGCTAAATAAAGTGTAGTTCCATCAGCACTAGTGATTCTTCTATCTAAACTCGTCACAAAGTGAAAGATCTATTTTGAGGAGAGAGAGTAACGTTAATTTGATTTCATTAACTCTCTCCCTGTCCATAAGATGCCTTATTTCTTCAATTAGTTGGTACGTTCCTTAATGCTGAGTACTATGCTTTTTCATCAAAACATACTGTTCAGAAAGATGACGACTCCGGAGTGTAGCAATTAGTTTTAAAAAATAAGGCTTTTAATACGGATTACTGACATCAATAAAGCCCAAGTCAAAAATTTCTTTGGTCGAAATTTCGACCTTCTAACATAAATACATTTTTCTTCAAGTTATCGCAATATCAAAATGTGTAAGTATTAAATATTGCCACACAACAACAAAAAGAGTCGTAGAGATACGACGAAACAGTCTATATCTTGATTTATATTTCTGATGAGTCATGAATTTATAATACATCATCAAGACTATCTTTATTGTTTCGAAATAAATATTGACTTTTCAAGATAAACCCTATGTTCTAATAAATATTACTGATAGGGCTGTGATATTTCTTTAGCGATTTGAATTGAAAACTATCAGCTGGAAGACAAAAAAACCATAGTTCGCTCTTATTAATCAAACCAACGAACTTTCAAAGTTTGAAAGTAACAATTCGAAAAGTCATGTTTCATTTTCAAATCCTTTCATCATATAACTTCATCTATGTCGCGACAATATTAGATAGAATTAATAAATTTTATATAAATGGATTATCTTCTCAAGTGTTGTCTTTTTGTTTCATATTATGTTTCTTCGTCTATTTGTTGCTTTGTCAAATGTAATTTATCACGTGTTCTCTGTTATTTTAAGCTTATAATGATACACTTATAAACTATTTCTTGTCACGACGGAAGACATAGCCTCTTTTTCTTTTCTTTTACAAAAATGTGAGTTTTTATTTCTTTTCCTTCTTTGTGCAAAAAAAGAAACAAGAAAAAAAATGAAAATATTAAACAACAATGCTTAACCCTTTACCCCCCAATGGGTCATATATGACCCATTTGTAGACATGATCGCAGAAAATAAAGAAAACATGAGACTGAAAAACTCTCAAGATATTATTTGTAGGGAACTTCACAAGCTACCGATTGGTAAAAAAATATTTTGATTCATTGCTCTGCCTTCGAGATATATGACTTACAAAATCGATAAATTTGAAAAAAATGGAAAAATTTGAAATTTTATAAACAAAATGTTCTCTACTTGCAATCGAT